CGCCGAAACGTCAGCTTAATCGTGAACAAAGAATAGTAACACCTCGCGTTTGCTCAACAAAAATACGAAGAAAATCACTTGATCAATGCCGAGGTTAATAGAAAGTCGGTCGTGGCAGTTATAGTCTAAATTTTCGAAGCACTAAACTTTCGCTAAGGAAATCCGTTCGGATAAAAAAAAATTTTGGGGGAAAAATCACATAAAATGTAAGCAAACTCATCAAAACGAACACAGCAGAAGCGATTTTGAAAACTGAAATGAATGATTTGTACTATCAACATCAAATCAAGAAGCTACACCTAGTCTTGTGATAAAGGGATAAAAGCATAAAGCTCTCGGCGTTGATCTTTCCCTGAGAGATGCGCCATACATTCGGTTTCATTAAGTATCGCTGGAGATGAATGAATGCATATCTGACCATTACAATGACTCGCGGTTGTCTACCGATTTATCGAGCCAGTGTTGCTACCATCCCAGACAAGTTTGGTACTAATTTACTAACCGCGGAGTGAGGAAGGGCTTGGTGAGCCATGGGCGCGAGGATCAATCCCATATGTACGCATTGCAGGGCGCTTCCGACCACACGCGCCCCAGGCTGTCTTCATATTTTCTGGAGTTCCCGCCAATATGATAGTGAGATCTCTCGAATTCAAATTTGCAGAACATCGGAAAAGCATGAACTATTTGTTAATATTTCACGAGAAATATATTCTGCTACTGAACATTGCCCCAAATCTTAATTTTTGTCATTAGAATCCCACTATACGCGCCTCAAGAGTGTCAGAACACTCTAGTGATATCCACAAAGATCATCGGATTCGCAAAACACCAAGAAGCTCGCATCATCCATATATTATTGCTTCTTCAAAAGCAAACAGAAGGTACTCCGTTTCATAATAACGGTGGACCACAAATGTCTATCAAGTGACTAATCGCTCCATCCAACTCCAAGGGCTATACGGCGCGACACCAGGTGATGGACAAGGAAATGAACATGGACCGTATCACTAAAGGTAGTCAGCGGCCCTTCTGAACTGTTTCTGGGATGGCTATATTGGGATACAGATCATTTTAGAAAAAACGGAAATCCCAGTTATGGCAACGATTTCTACGATCAGCACCGAACGATCAAGAACGATGTGAAGAACTAATTCTTTAGTAGAGCAGAAAAAGAACCCCCATTGAAAAGTTGCTCACCAAGCTGTACACAGGTTGAATATAATACATGTATAGTGAATTATATTTGGTTTTTATCACACATGCTATCCAAATTTGGTTTGGATTAGCACTCAGTGCTTGGTGGACTTGTGTTTTCTTTTTATTCTATTTAAAATAGCCGTATGGAGGCACAAGGTCGTCATCGTAGGCAGCCTTGGACCGGTCACAACGGAAACGAGATTTTCCCGCCCTTCTGTAATGTTTACTTTAAAATTTCGCCAATTTGTGATATAGGTTTACGCCAAAATGAGCTTTCAAATGGAAATTTCAAACTAATTCTCAAATTAGGTTGTCGCGTTGATGGACTAGATCTACCATTGTATGTAAATCGGAGTTAAACATTCAAGAATGTCGCTCAAGGCTCTCGTACGGTGGTGAGTAATACAGACGGAATACTTGGATGTTTGAATGGCCCGTCTTCACTGGTTGTGCGATCCCCAGCATAATTTATATTTTTTCGCAGTACTGCTGGCTTAGCCACTGTGGTTCCCTGCAGTCCCGAGGGTAGCTTAACTAAAGTCTGACCCGGGTTGTCACCGCCACAGGCAGTCGCCGTCCGTGTGGATCAGAGGGATATTTGGCACTATGCGGCTACTTTTATATCAGGACAATGGTGGATCCTAGTAGTAATTTATTCCCAGCTGAGCTCCCCGATGGAAACGCCGGACTCTTTAGCTTGGGAAATCCTGCCGGGGGATGAATACCCCCGCTATACATCGCAGCCCAAAACCCAGAAACACATCCTAGCCATGATAGGGCGTTAAATCGTTAGAAGGAGAGATGGAATATAATTTAGTATGTTCATGATATACACACCTATCTTCAGTATGGAATGTGCTATTGAAGTAAAACGGAAAAATACAAAGGCACATCGAAATCGGACTTATCTCAACGTGTTTGGGCATCCTTAGTTTTTACCTTAGCTTTTTTTTCATTATTCAGCACCGATATCTCGACCCACTGTCTTTCCTTTTGTCAAACTACCTAGTTCAATAAAGTGAAATAGCTTTTTGGTTCTCTTACTTCACCAAATTACAAAGGAATGACAAAAATACGGTGGCAATGGGAAAATTTAGAAATTCACGTACATGACCGTCGGTACTTCGGGTTCCTTTTCGTGGATGTACTTACGCCTATAATACAGCACCATCGAGACGAGCAGCACCGATGCAATACCGAAGACGATGAGTGCAAGTAGAATTACTCCAGCCCGCGAGCCATTCTCAATGCCCTGTTGCTGTTGGAATTGCAGCACTGAAATCAATTTTTCATCTGGTTTCTCCGAATTTTGCCGATTAGACATTAAGAAAGAAGTGGTCAAACAACTAAGCTCACAATAATATCTAAAATAAAAGACGATAAATTTCACGTAGTCCATCAGAGAGCGTCCCGATATCCCCGCCAGGTTAAACAAAGAAATTAATGTGGATTTGATATAGTGGCTTGTTGGAGGCAGTCGATATAAGACAGTGTTTCGATCACCATTCACCCACTGAAGAAAAAGTATCGTGAGCTCCTTTGTTATCTTAAGTGAGTGAGCAGCGTAACTCCAGTCGTCACCCCAAATTCCACATTACAATTACCTATATAGAATAATTCAGACGGTTTACATTCTCACCACATAGGATAAATCGCTAAGTATCAAGGTGTATAGATTAAAAATACCTGGGCAATTTGAATCAACAATAGAAAACAACAATTCTCGACTTACACGCTTGTCCACAACTTAGTTGATCAGCATGACAGCATCCGATAGCAGCATCACATTCGTAACCAACACCGCAATCACCGCATTCACGTGAACAGCGTAAGCCATAGTAACCTTGAGGACACACTGAAATAAAAGCCTAAGTAAGCGCAAAGAAGAAAAAGTATTCAGCGTTGACCATTCAATGAGTGGTATGCCATGCATCCGACTTCACCGATCATCGTTACTCATGACTGAATGCACATCTCGCCAATAGCGTGCGAATTGCAGTGACCTACCGATGCATCAAGTCAGTTCCTTCCAGGCAGTTCTGGTAGCGACTTGCCGTCCTCGGCAGAGCTGGAAAGTTTGGTAATCCAGGGGTGAGAGATCGAGCAAACGACTATGTATTGCATGCACCTCCAACGATTGCGCTACACATGACTCTTAGATAAGTTGCTTCTTTAAAGAAAAATAAAGCTCTCAGCGTTGAACAATCCGTTAGGAATGCCTCATGTATTCGACTTCATCAATCATCGTTGGAGGTGACTGAATGCATATCTAACCTTTACAATGACTCGCGGTGGGGTACCGATGTATGGAGCCAGTGTTGCTATCCTCCCAGACAAATCTACTACCAATTTGCTGACCACGGAGGGATGGAACGCCTGGTGGGCCAGGGGCGCGGGAATCGATCTTATGTGCATTGCTAGGCGCCTCCGACCACTGCACCACACGTATAGCCAATGTTTAATACAATTATCAAAAGGTTTGGATGCTATCATTGCGGTAGATGATAGTGCGGCTCATTATCAATGTGAAGTTCTAAAAAATAACTGCGATGTCTAGCAATTGTTAAGAATCCCCCACTGAAGTATCCTGTTAGCTCGTCACAACAGCTATCTGCTGACTTTTCGCAGCTGGACCTGAATCTGAAACACTTTTCAAGAAACACTGAGCGAGAACCCTAAGTCAATATGTCTCCAGACGAAGTTGAGGGAATTGCGAACGATCCCCTACTTCGTATGGCGAGGCGGTGTTAAATACTGGCTCAATTCCTGTGAAGAGATTTGTCATTGCCGATTCTGATGATGACGTCATGGATGCTGTAGATGGCCATTTGCATCACAGTAAGCCAGATGAGAGGATTTACATGGGAGATCATGACTATGCTATCTCATATAATTTGAATCCCGTGGATGCAATGAAGTCATCGGAAGTGTTTCCATTGATTCCAAGGCTTTCTGAACTTGGCTTAATATCCGATGGCCTCGAGACAGCTAGTGATCAACATGTGCAAAGCCGAATATTTCCAACCTCCTAATTTGGTTATGAAAAACAGGAGCCATATATCATCGATAGGGCACCTTCAAATGTTCGCGATGGTATTTATCGAACTGCAGAAGGATAAGGCACTTACGCACTTACGTATCTCGCACTCTGTGGCCAGGTATCCATGCTTCGTCTGGATATCTGAGCGTACGGATTTCTCAAGATCGTAGTTTGCCGCCTCTTCCACAACACCAATAGCAATATTTCACCGCCGCTGGTAATAACGCAACGCCAATAGTTCGAAGAGTTATGACTAATACATCAATGTCTAGCCCATCAGTGATTCGACAAAAGCGGAGTGCTCCTCGAATCGTGCCTTCCCTGACGCATATGAGACCACAGGGTATGCGACTGGAAAGTGCTGCTTCAAGTCTACTAATGCAAAAGAACCAAGTTAATGCTGTGACCAGTGCACCATTAATTCACCATCAGGCTGATACTCCACCACTATGGATTATTTAAGCCCTCTTAAATAAGAAAAAGTGAAGAAAGTAGGAAAGCAAAAAATGTCAACCGCTAAGAATGGATGCCTTGGGTACCTTGAAATTAGCTGAGGGCTGAGAAAATCCAATACAGTGATATATCAAGTCACCTTGTGGGGAAGAATATCTCTAATATTGAGAAAATTCAAAGAATAGAACCAAAGATATATGATCTATTACAGGGTAATCACCCAACAAATCTCTGGTTTTGCTGCCTAACCACGAGATTTTCGAATATACAAATTTCAGTTGGCCTTCGGAAGTTCGAATCACTGTGATGAACGCTGAGAAAATTGAGTGTACATCTTCATTTTGGAAAATACGGTTGAATGGTATTGTTATCATCACCGTGCTAAAACAATTCAGGATACTCACGTGCGTGGCAGAACTCGCCAGTGAACCCCGGATGGCATTGACAGGCGCCGGTGACACGATGACAACTAGCTGACGATGTTCCACGACACTTGCACTTATTGATGCAGTCTGGACCGTAGAAACCATCCTCGCATTGCACATTACAGCGATCACCTTGCCATCCTGAAAAACGGTGAAGAAACAATGGCTAACCCATAAACGAAAATGACAGCTTTTCCCATCAGCAAGTTCTGTGCTTAAGTTTTTCAAAAAAACGAAAAGAAAACATGAAACGAAAAGGAAAGGCGGGATTGAGCTTCTACAGTAAGTCACACCTTCTCTCCTCTAGTAGGCCCACTTACCGGCTGGACAAGCACATTCACCAGTATGCGGATCGCATTCCTTGAATTCCGACGCACACTTACACTGTCGATTACAGTTCAAACCCCAGAAACCAGGAACGCAAACTGGAACACTGTTGAGTGAAGAATCTATGTAAACAATGAATACGATAGTTCAATGTTTTTCATCAATAAGCAGACATGAGGTTGTTATAGAATTTATTAGAACACAATTGCTGACGTTTCGGCGGTTTCGCCTTCTTCAGAGCCTGGAAAGGTCAAATTGAGATGTGATCTACTCAGCCAAACACTTTCACAACCCTAGCAGATAAAACTTGACAATTCGATTTTCATTCGCATAAGAAACAGCTTCATTCAAACACCTACCGTTTATTTGTTGTAAGTATTTAAGTTAGTTGGTGGATAGCCGCCGCACAGAGTAATACATGGTCGATAACTGGGTCCATGTCAGATCATTGGATCAGTCTGAGGTATGGCGCTAGGTCACGCGTGATGACAAGACACTCCTCCTTGCGGTTCATTTTTGGATTTTTGGAATTGATCCAAAACGCTTCAAGGGTTTAACGCGCTGATGTTTTCGATTCCTGCCTAAGGATAGTGACTCCTACCTCAAAATCTTCTCCGTTGTGTTCTTGCATCCTATGCGCGCCTAGTGGAGTATTGTGTTTTAGTTTAGATTTACCGACTAGGTGTTCTTTTATGCGGACGCAGAGCGGTCTACCCGTTTCGCCAACATATTCGTGCCCGCACGCTTTACAAGAGATCAGATAGACTGTACCCGAACTCATGCAATCACCGTCTCTACCATTTGGGCAAATTATGCAGTTTTTTGTTGTACATAAACGGGTAGACCGCTCTGCGTCCGCCGAAACGTCAGCTATTGTGTTCTAATAAATTCTATATTAACAACCTCGTGTCTGCTTATTGATGAAAAACATTGAATTATCAATCAATGCCGAGGTTCACAGAAAGTCGGTCTTGGGATTACGATAGTATTTAAATAAAATTCTACAACGCACGTCTGTCACAAAGCCGGCCTTCGTAACCCGCTGGACAGATGCAGGTCCCATCTATATGGTTACATTTAGCATCATTTGCACATGGAGGGCATTTGTTGGAGCAACCAAATCCCCATGTCCCGTCCGGACACTCTGGAAAGAACCAAGTGGAAGAAGAGCAATAGATGGTGATTTTTTTGAAATTATGGCATTATCAAATCATTGTCGTTACAAACTATTCGTTAACACAGATGCTCCAATATTTCAGATATTTGCAACAGCATGCATTGATTTAGATGCGTACATGCCTTGGAACAATCCGTCTCCTTTCTTCATATAAACTTATTTCACCAAATAGCTAACTTTATAATCATAATTAGAAACTAACAGAATCTACAGATCTCTAACAACAAGATAGAAACCTTTTCATTCTATGATAACAAAATGTTGAAATTTCAGAAACCAGGATTCCTTGAGCCTGGACTCCTATTTCGTATAGTGAATCACTTGTAAATACCGAAAAAATGACGAAGATAAAAGTGCTAACTTGTCGCTTACTTTGCTCACAATTTTCGCCAGTGTATCCGTGGTCACATATGCATTTGCCAGTTACGGGATCGCATCTGAAAAAAAAGCAACATTATACGTCCTAAGTAAGCATGGTTATAGGAGGTGAACAAGGATTGTTACAACTACCTGAAACTACAGATTGTTTTGGCCATACGATATTTTGTTATCATTAATGGTACTGCTAAAATCACCACTGAGCGTGTAGCGCAGTGGTCAGAGGTTCCCCGAAATTCATATTGGATCGATCCCCGCGCTACAGGCTCACCTGGCCCTCCATCGCTCCGGGGTCAGTAAATTGATCCGTGACTGGTATGCGAGGACAGCAGCACCGACTTGATACATCGACAGGCTACCGCAAGTCATTGTAAAAGTCAGATATGCATTCAATTACCTCCAACGATGCTTAATGAAGTCGAAGGCATGGCAAATCCCTCAGGGATTGATCAATGTCGAGCGCTTTATCCTTTTTATTCTCTGTTAAAATCACCGTAAAAATTCTATTTGCGGATGAACCGCCCTTGATATTCAGAGAAATATATCTCGAGAACTAAACACTGATTGCAAGTCGATTTAGTGAGAAAACAGGTGGACGACGAGAATATTAGGACTATGACAGAACTAAAACTTTACAGACCTCAACGGAGAATTCCGGAAAGATGGACCGACGTGTTTAATGCTGTTCTACTAGTTATATAGTTTCATCACTAGAGTCAACTTTTAGACCCTCAATCCTAAACAGAACATAAATGCATAGAACGGCACCCATCAAATGCAGGAATTACAGCAGGATATGAATGATATGAGTGGAAAAAGTGTTGGTACGTAGATATGATCAGTCCGAGCAAGGCATTTTGTCGACCTCGCGCTGGTTTCATCAAGTCTCGAATCACTCCGTGGCCGGGACATCGGCACCATTCTCGTCTGCATTCAACTGATTATTGCAGGACATGGTTCCACTAGAAACATCATTACAGAGACTAGAATCTTCGAAGTCTGAAAGACTTCTTTACTGCAGAAAAGAAATAGGAATTTTATCTGCTGAGGTTACAAAAGTGTTTGAGCGAGTGGACTGTCTGTATGTTACTCTTCTAGGCTCTGAAGAAGGTGAAACTCCGGGATTGGCAAATTGGTACCAGACTTGTTTGGGAGGAAAGAAGCACTGGCTCGATGCATCCACAGGCCACCGCGAGTCATTGTAAAGACCAGATATGCATTCAGTCACCTCTAACGATGCTTAATGAGGTTGAATGCATGGCGCATCCCACAGCGATTGACCAACAGCGAAGGCTTTATCTTTATTTTTATTTTTCGGAAAGAGATCAAAGAGTGAATCAGGCTAAAAAGGATAGATTCCTAATGGGTAGACTGCTAGAACTTGAAAAATATTACAATTAAAAATTTACTTGTGACCATCAGCACATGTACACTTTTCAGAACAATCTTCACCCCATTTGCCATCATCACAGCTATGCTTACAGTTCGCTCCGGACCTCAAAAAAGAAATGGGTAACAAGAAATCCGAGCTCTTTGGCAGTTGCTTTTTTTGTAGTAAATGATTCTTAACTACACTAGAAAAAAATATGAGCTAAAAAATAAGGACTTTTTTAACAAATAGTCCACTTGTACTAAATAGGGCATTTTAATCCTTAACATTCAAAACTTTCCCTCACTTTCCAACTGGACAGTTCAAGCACTCTCCAGTCTTTGCATTACATGTTGCAGGTGATCCGTTGTCTCGAGTACAATTCGTGCATTTTTCCTGACACTCGTAACCGAATCGACCAGGATCACAGTCTGAAAGAAACCCTTGAAATCAAAGACTCACATGAAACTCATGGAAGGAAGAACTTCGGGAAGTAAAGTGATCGCACTCGCACGGTAAGTCAGAAACAGAGCGGCAGAATATTTTTGCATCACCGTACACTTCGTAAGGAAGTAATGGTTGAAAAACCTTGTCCTCCACGCTTTTAAATCTCTTACGAACGCCTTGGACATGACCTTAACTATATGGAGTCGTGAAATCTTACGAGTCCTCTTCCTGATCCGCACAACCGAAGAACCTCGGCTCGTTGAAAGTCATGGCTCACTTGCCCACCGATGAGAGTGGCAGCATTTAAGATACAACCACGAAAAACTCTCCTAGCTACTGTTACCACTGATGATTAGCAAGTTAAAAGTAAAATTAAGTTGAACAGCCGACATAAAACGTATTTTGAGAGAATCGCATATTTTTACGCTAAAATGATCAGGGAAAGGAAGGGATAAAATAAACGAAATGATACAGGTTGTCGGCTAATTTTCCGCCTCGCCTTGAAAGTGCACTAAGCTTCACTTCAATACAAACGCGAAATGGGCCCCCACATTTTCTCATTCATTCTAAAAGTTCCAGAACGAATGCCATAACCAACCTGAGAAGCATTTCTCGCCTGTCTTTCCCACCTCGCAAACACATCTGCCAGTTTTCTGCTGACAACTTCCACCGGCACAGTCGCATTCCAACTGGCAATCGTCACTATAGTAGCCGTTTTCGCATTGCGTAGAACAATCCGGACCTTGAGTTGAGCATGATTCGATTCGTTTAAATCCACTCACTTTCAAAGTATTCATTTGTACTACGTATAAGAATTCACGAACAGGGAAAATTTTCCTATGAATAGTAGAAAATCAAGTACTTCTTCTACTTCCGGACAAAATTTGGTTCACAAACAATCTTACACCTATCGTTTACATGGAAGCCTTTACTTAGTGTGAACGACTCATTCTTCAGCAATTCATCAAAGATGGCCATAGAAAGATCTGCCCCAGAATTTTGAACATGAATATCATACAATCTGAACGACAAAGAACAACTGATGGCCGGTCACATGCCAATTTCACTGTGTTCCAGTTTGAACGTAACTTGATGACCTTATTACTGCTCATTATAAAAAGGTACATCAAATAAAACCACATGTAAAAATTTGTTTATTAAAAACGGTAAACCAACTAAAAAAGAGGACATCCACCTACCTTTGAAACCACGACGACAACTGCATTCACCAGTAAATCGATCACATTCGCCACCGTTTTTACAACGACAAGCAATAGAACAATGCGGACCATAGGTTCCAGCAGCACAAGGCGTGTCGCATTTGACGCCTGTCCAACCTGGAAAAATCTCAACGCTTCTCTGAGACGATTGGTCGCTGAATTAATCTACCACTGGTGAAGCGGTGAGTCATATACGACTTACTATGGGAGTAGCTGGCAATTAGGTGTCGTGCCCAATGCGCCAAACACGCAAAAATAGGCGTCTGCAACAATGGGTCAAAAAAAAACTGCCACAACACATATGTTATTGTTTTTCCTCCTGTTTTGATGACGACAGCGAGAGAGTACACCTAATTAATCGCTGTTCACGGTGTGCACTGAGCTCAATACATGAAGTCCATTTTAAATAAAATACAGTTGTGAAGAAAAGCATTTTCAGTAATCTCCACCTGGAAACTTATAGAGAATGTACCATGTACCAAATCCTCCAGAGCTCAACGTCGAATTTATTCCGTTTCGAACCTTGGGACTTGCTCCACAAAGAGGCATCTGACCACTACGATAGGAAAACAAACGAAGAAAAATGGTAACTCCAGCAATTTCTTGTCTAAGCTCGAACTTCGAAATGACATAAAGCGGTGAACTCCAAATTATTTCAAGTCGAAATTAGTATAATACTCTTTGGTTGATGATGTAACAACTATTAATTGACTGTCCACGAAGAAGAAAGTAACAACTAAAGAAATGAAGGCCAACCAATTCTTCCTAATCTAAAAGTCTATGAGATCAATCCCCAACATTTTCTGTCACAAAATCGTTGTTGTGAAAAAATCCTTCTTCCTCTTATAAAATCAAAAGAAGAAAATCATTTCACTGACCAGAAGCTAGTATTTAAAACAAAATCGTTATGTTGGCTTCACAATGCTTACTTTTTATTTTCTGCCATTTAAACACCTACCGTTGATTTTTTGCAACGGTAGGCAGAGTGAGCGCGTTACTCCCAGGAATGGAAAATAGCGCGTTCGTTCCCTACCGCAGGAACATGCGGTTGCAAATATCTCAGCATCGTTGTGGTTATGTTGGCTTTTTAACTTCACACTTTTCTGCAATTTTTACAATTTTTCACGGCAGGGTATTGTGTAATACAACCGCAGTAGTGTTAAAATAATTCCAGAATTTATTAGGATACAATAGTTGACGTTTCGGTGGTTTCGCTTTCTTCAGAGTCTGGAAGGGTAAAATTCAGATGCCATCTACTCGGCCAAATACTTTCATAACCCCAGCAGATAAAACATAACAAATAAATTCGTATTCGCATAAGAAACAGCTTCATTTAAACACCTACCGTTGGTTTTTTGCAAGTACTTAAGTTAGTTGATGGATAGCAGCCGCACAGAGTAATACAAGGACGAGAAATGTGCCTGTGTCAGGTCATTGGATTAGCCCAAGGTATGGCGCCAGGTCACACGTGATGACAAGACACTTCTCCTTGCTGTTCATTTTTGAATTTTTGGAATTGATCCAGAACGCTTCGCGTGAGGATAGTAACTCCTACATGGTGCGCCAAATAGGCATTTGAAATGGTTACGAAACTGCAGCTTATCGGCATAGGCATAGAGGAAAAACCACGCCCCAGAGCGATAGTTCTAGCGAAAACAAGGTTCCGTTCCTCTTGCTCTTTATGTCAAGCCAAATAAGTGCAGCTATAAAACGTTGCTTAATAAAGGCCGGTCTAGAGAATTCCGTAAAAGTGACAGAAATACCATCCGACACTTTAAGACGCCAGCTAGTTCGCAACCGTCTATATGACCGTCTGTGTACAACGAAAAACTGCATAACTTGCCCTAACGGTAGAGACGGTGATTGCATGAGTTCGGGTACAGTCTATCTGATCTCTTGTAAAACGTTCGGGGACGAATACTTTGGCGAAACGGGTAGATCGCTCTGCGTCCGCATAAAAGAACACCTAGTCGGTAAATCTAAATTAAAACCAAGCACACCACCAGGCTCGCATAGGATGCAGGAACACAACGGAGAAGATCTTGAAGTAGGAGTCACTATCCTCACGCACAAATCGAAAACACCAGCGCGTAAAACCCTTGAAGCGTTCAGGATCAATTCCAAAAATTCAAAAATGAACCGCAAAGAGGAGTGTTTCGTCATTACGCGTGACCCGGCGCCATACCTCAGGCTAATCCACTGACCTGACAGAGACACAGTTAACCCTCATGTATTACTCTGTGCGGCTGCTATCCATCAAGTAACTTAAACACTTACAACAAATAAACGGTAGGTGTTTAAATGAAGCTGTTTCTTATGCGAATACAAATTTATTTGTTAAGTTTTATCTGCTGGGGTTATGGAAGTGTTTGGCTGAGTAGATCACATCTTAATTTGACCTTTCCAGGCTATGAAGAAGGCGAAACCGCTGAATCGTCAGCTAGCGTATCCTAATAAATTCTATAACAACCTCATGTCTGCTTATTGAAGAAAAACATCGAATTATCAATCAATGCCGAGGTTAGCAGAAAGTCGGTCTTTGGTGTTAAGATATTTGCAAAACTCCGGTCCGCAGGTGTCTACAATAAGGAACGATATTACCCTTTTCGGGCTAAAACCATTATGGAAAGAAGTAAGTATAAAACCGGGGAAGACCATCCAAAACAACCATGAAAGTTGGAGCAAAACCGTTGTACTAAGCATACACTGGTAGCAAAACCACAGGTATCCACATTTCAAACGTGTTTTTTTCGACGCTACTAATCTAACCTTTGCCCATGAAACCGTTTTTGGCGGCAATCGCATGAGAATCAAAAAAAAACCGAAGATTTACATCCGATAGGCAAATTTTAGTGAAATAGAAGAGCGCACAACAATCACTCTAATGGGATAGATGGTGGGAGGAAAGCAGCAGGAAGTCATAGAGATTGAGTAAATGTAAAAGTTCTTAGAAATTCGAGTAGGAAATCTGTGGTATAAGTAGAAAAGGTACCTGAAGTGCAGTAGCAGTCACCAGTCACCGGATCGCAGCCGGCTCCGTTACGGCACTGACACGCCGCACAAGACGAGCCGAAGTGACCGGCTGGGCAAGAAATCGTGCACAAAGCACCATGGAAACCTAGAATTCATTCGAATATTCACTATACTAGGAAGCAAGCAAACCAGCAAAAAAAATTCATAAATAATAGAATAGTAAATGTATGGCGATGCGAGTACAAAATGATAATTGCCTGGTAGCAGCATATTACATACAAACTATGCATATTGATCGAGTGTTGAGGATCATCGAGCTTCCTACCTATTCCCATTTTAACGCTTCCACTTTCAGTGTAATATAAAAAGAACAGATTTTCCTCGTACAGTGACTATCGAAGACCTACAACCAAGCGATACCATGGATTCGACTTTCTCAAGTATATTCATGTAGAAGGAAACGTGTCGTGTAGCGCACGGCTTAGAAATGTCCAGCTTGGTAGTGCTTGGTAGTACGATCCTTCCATGACAGAAGAGTTGATATAGGATATATTAATCAAGGTAAAAGCAATAGCCTAATATGTCAAAAGGTCACCGTAAGTCATTGTATAGGCCAAATAATGCATTTAATTATCTAATCGATGAAGGTCCTTCCAACCGTTTACCGCCTCATCGTAGCTGAGAGATGTTCCTGGGTGTCGAGCTGCGATGTACAGCGGGAGGATTCGTCCCCCGGTAGGGTCTCCCAAGCTGAGAAGGAGTCCAGCATTTCCGTCAGGAAGCCTAGCTAGTAGTAAACCAATACCAGTACCAGGATCCACCAGCGTGCTGGTAAAAAACGAGTCGCATGGGGGCAAATCTCTCTTTGATCCACAAGGGTGGCGACTAACTGTGGTGGTGCCGAGTTGGGGCAGACTTTGGCAAGGGTGACTCGAGGACTAGGAAAACACAATGGCTAAACTAGCGAAACTCCGAAAAATGGAGATTGTGCTGGGGCCCGCACTACCAGTGAGGACGGGCATTCCAAGTATCAAAACATCAAGAATTCGATGAAGGCAAAGGAAACGGAAACGTTGCTCGTATGAAGTTTTTTTTTATCTACCTCAAGTTGGAGAACCAATGAAAAAGATACGGGGGACCATTTGTTCTCTAATCTTGTACTGTCGGAAATCACTGGCAATTTCTGAACCTAGAAAATACCTTTTGCAAAGTATAGGTGAAAAGTTTGCGCTGACAAAAAATCTCGAATGATACTGCATAGCAATGAATTATATTTCACTAGTAATTAATGAATATTAAACAAATATAACATCCACAACGTACCATCTTGACATTTACATGTCCCGTCTCTCTTGTCGCATATGCCATTCTTTCCACAGCTGCAGTTAAATGCACAGCCGAGACCAAAGAAACCGTCTGGGCATTCCTCTTCACATCTATGAATAACACATTTTCGATTACGTTACTGCTATAAAATCACAATGATCACCCAAACTCGAGTCACTAACTTCAAACCTGTTCGACCAGGCAGGCAAACGCATCTACCACTATTCAGATCACATTCTGATGTGACGTTGTAATCGCATTCGCACTTGTTAGCACAGTCTCGACCTGAACGGTAGTATTGCTGTGATGGCGATCAATCTCGAGAAGCCGTTTTTTCGACGATAGAGAACATTCCAAGAATTCTTTATATTCCTCTCGACCAAACAAGAGGTGTTACTTTATTCTTTATCGACGGGAAAACTGACGTTTCGGCGGATTTCGTCTTCCTTAGAGCTTGGAAAGGTCAAGTTGCTCGTGATGTACCCAGTCAAACTCCTATATAACCAAACAGAGAAAATGCTAAACCAGGACTTCATTCACATCGGAAGACTCCCAGAAAGGGGTGAGCGGAGAAAGAAGCTGTTCTACGTTAACTGTGATTGAAATTTTGGTTTAGTATTTTCTCTGTTTAGTTATAAAGGGGTTTGGTTGGGTAGATTGCGATCAACCTGACCTTTCTAAGCTCTAAGGAAGACGAAATCCGCCGAAACGTTAGTTTTCCCGTCGATAAAGAATAACGTAACACTCGTTTTGGCTCAACAGGAGTATAAAGTATTAGTGGAGCAATGCCGAGGTTAATAGAAAGACGGTTGTGGAACCTTCTAAGAACTCAAAATTTGTTTATTTTTTGCCATTGGTGTCGAATATGTAAACAAGCGCATTTCAAGCCGTAGTGTACAGTGACGTATGGCGTGCCCGGTGATGGATGACCTTAATAGTATCACAGTGTTGACTTTTATTTACCGTCCATTACAATTGTTCACGGGAGGGTATGAGGCGAAATACAACTACAGTGATGCTGAGAAATTTGCAAAACTCCGGACCGCAGGTGTCTGCGGTGGGGAACGAACGCGATATTACCTTTACCAAGGGGTAACGCATTCACCGTAGCACCATGCAGGTCCTTCGTATCGCCTGTCTCAGCTAGTTCTATCGAGCAATGCCATCAGCAATCACCCACCAACGGGATTAATTTGGGGAGGTCAAATCGTCAATGAGCCCAAATTAAGCTGAGGCCGTAATCGAATTGTTATAGAATATATAGAATATACAGGTTAGAATTGTTATAGAAATATAGAATTGTCGAATAAAAAAGTGAACATTGTGATTTCGACAACAGCCTCTGCTTAAATGGGTTCATTGCCGATTTGGGCTCCCTAGATCAATCCCGTTGGCGGGTGATTGCTGAAGGCACTGATCAACAAAACTGGCTGAGAGACAGGCGAAACGAAGGACTTCATAGTAACGTTAAAACTAAGACAGAACTCGAAGACTTTCCAAGTAGTCGCGAAAAAGTTATGGTTCAAATGACCTTTGGTAGACTCTAACTTGTTGCCGACGTATTAACCGCTCTTAAAAAACGTAAAAATCACATATTCTTTAAAGACCGTGCAGTTTCAACTTTGGAATAGAATTATCGGTAGTTTTCTATTTACATCACACCTTTCATCCCTTCAATTTACCTTCTTTTTGTATTTGTAGTGGCTTTAGACAAGCAAGGGGCTCGACCTCTTACATCGTTCTTGAGTAGCAGGTCGACTAATCACCGTATTCGCTGCTACCACAGGAATTGCTACCGCCCAGGAAGAATCTCAGTAGTACGGCAAATTTTTCTTGATCCACAAACGTCGGAAACCCCTTGTGATAATGGCTCGACAACGGTCTAGCCCAACTATCTCGAAGCCCTACCATCTCTATGGATGAGAGCCTTCAGACCATGAAGAAATTTGAGGAGCTGCTAAAACCCGCACATAATGTTAATTCGGGTTACTTAAGTATCTAACATGGCTTCTGCGAGTAGAATCGGCGACAAAGCCGTCAACTCACCCCAAAACAGCTTTGAACAAATCCGTTCGCACGAGTCTCCAGCAAAACCAGGTTTACATCTACAGTAACCCGTGCCTGGTGCGCATCTGAAAATTTCAACAGTAAAGAAACCGGCTTGGCCTTAATACTAAAGCGTTTTAACTCTTTATTGTCAAGGAAAAAAGTAGTAAGAGTTTTAGCTTAGTTTAGAAAGGATTTTTACAAATTAATTTCACTACAAATCATGATCACTTACGATTCAGTGTTATTCATAATACATGAGCATTGTTTAGAACAGTCTTGCCCGTACATATCCTCTTCACACACTAAAAGAAACAACAAATAAAAAACAACTAAAACTATTCGATGGATCTTGCTAAAGACCCATCTTCAGGTCATCATCTTCATCCAGTGACGTGAAAATGACTCAGAAACAAAAATGGCTAAAAATAAATCCTTTATTTTGCCTTCTGTTTACAGGCTCAACAAAAGAAATAATATTAAGTCGCTAACGGACGATACGCATTGTATGCAATCGTAGTTAGCAAGAAACAATTGGGAACCTCAACAATGAACAATAAACAATTATACCACAGTTCATAGTAGACCTTACTTAAGGAAACAAAAACTAATGAAACTGACAAATCTTTGCCTAATTCTTCTGTCTTACCGAAATGAAGATCTGATTTTTCGAAATTGACGAAACACACTATTGTCGTTCTCCTTCGAACTTTGTTTCAAGTGCTCAAGTGATTAAAAAGTCAGGATTGCATAGAAAAGATAGTACGGGTCCCAGATGTTTTCTTGATGTTTGATGCTGTCGCGTTTGTGTTGCAAAAAAAGGATAAAGCTCTCGGCATTGATCATCTATCCCTGAGGGATGCGCCATGCATTCAACTTTATTAAGCATCGCTGGAGGTGATTGAATGCATGTATGGTTACAACGACTCGGGGTGGCCTGCCGATTTATCGAACCAGTGCTACTATCCTTCCCGACAAGTCTCGTACCAATTTGCCACCCGCGGAGGGACGGAGGGCTTGGTGGGCCTGATGCGCAGGGATCAATTCCATGTGTTTTGCAGAGTGCCCCTACCGGAAGACTACCCGGGCCCCCGTGTTTGTGTTAACAGTTTAAAAAGATGAATCTCATTTACAATTCTTCACAAACTTCAACTTTAAACATATACCAAACTCAATAAACCATTTGAGGGCAGTCATTTATGTATCTAAAGCGATAAGTCAAAGTCTCTTCCGGAAGATTATCAAGTCCACTCAAAACATCAGCATCAGGCACTATGGCTTAACTATTAATGAATCTGCTTCTCGCTCGGTTTAGTGAAGTACTCAATGACCAGAAATTCTCCGACGGGATCAAGGAAATGTAGAAGGTGAATGCGGTTTGGCTTTGTTCTTCAACCAAATTGTTGCCTGATTTTGCTGTCTCTTCCCCACCAACCTCCACCACTGCAATGATGTCACTCCACCAAAAATGAAATATTCCAAACATTTAAGCGTGTTCTAGCGAAATCATGAAGATATTTTAAGTTCATTAAACTTCTGAACATGTATCGTGAAGGATGGAAACAAATCCCACCCACTAATCAATAAGCATCTATGGTATAGCATGGTATGACAGTGGGAAAGATATACGAAATTTCTCACAAAAACCACCAACACGAAAACTAATCTTCTAGAACATAGTGCAAATTTATATAGATTGAAAAACGTTTACACTAGCCATGTATAGAAACTGAATATAAGGTTCCAATAAACAAAGAATTCAAGGATGTAATTCTCACTAGAAGTGTGTCTGTATTGAGCAGTGGTTAGAGGTGTTCTTCAGCACATGCGTGCTCCATGATTCGATCCCACGTTCGGGGTCAATCACTGGTGTATCCCTTCGTAGTCAGCAAAGTGGGAACAAATTTGTCTCGGAGGACGAAAAACATTGGCTCGATAGGAACGCTGCCCACTCGCAAGTCATTGTCTGGACCAAACACGTCACTTCTACAATACTTAATGGAGGCGATTTCATAGTATCCCAAGCAGTGGAATCAGACACAGAAGACTTTGACCTTCATTGTTTAGCTTTTTAAGCATAGGCTTAAAGAGGTGGAAAAAATGCACATCGCATTAAGTGTGGCACAGCACTAGCAGATTCTTGTTTTCAAACCCAACTCCACCCGTAGAACATTCGACATCCGGTATTCGGCGTGTGTTTTCCTATTTGATTTTTTGTTAATCGCGGGCATATTTCGGGTTTATCAACGATCAAACACCTCAAGAACATTGTTCCATACCTCTTTGCTTACAGTCGGCACCTTGATATCCTCGTTCACATCTGCATTCACCCGTGACCGGATCACAGGCTGCATTTGAGTCCGTCCACAGTATGCCATTGCACAGTTCGCATTTCTTTGAACACTTAAATATTCATTATCTTTAGCATATACAGTATTTATAGTTATCTTACATACCGTCATATTTTTAACTTTTTCTATATATTATGGTGATTATCATTTGTATCACCAATGCGGCTGCTTCTGACCACACAGCAACTCAAGCGGAAGCAAGCAGTGTTCAGTCGTCATTGTTGTGTAAAAGAGTAGCCTGCTGAAGTCAACCTACTGAAAGTCCTTCTAGGATTATCGTGAAAGTATGTGAGCAACGGGCCGGTGTATTTTCAGCAATATGTTTGGCATCCCTCGAGAACAACTCACAACGGTTTATGGCCACCGGTTGCCGTTAAGAAGTATGACGTGTTCAGCCAACCTGATCCCCGACATACGCGCCTTTATAGCGGCGTCTCTAATTTTTTATCGATGACGTATGTTGGAAATTGTTGGAACTTCAGATTATCTTTTCCATTTGTGTGGTACGGTATGTGATAGCATTACTCTCTTGATTTCGCTGAATGATCTTTCACCTGCTTGTACAGCACTCAGGTTTTTAAAGTGTACTTAAGGCGAGAAGAATCACGGAGAGGAAAAATGGCACTGTATCGACCAGAGTATTCTTTACCTGTTTCCAATACATTACCAACGTTCTTACAGGCTCTTTAAACCTCCAGACAAACTCTGGTAAAATATCGTCATCGAGTTGACTCGTTATGCTGCATAAACAGAAAGCTTATCATTTCAAGATACTCTTATTCCGGGAAGTAAACGGAACCCATAGACCAGCCTCTTTCTCATCATCTTCTTGGAATTCAACCGAATATATGTCATTTCGCAAGTGCAACATAGGCCAGCAACCGCTTTAACGTTCCTCCAGGGTAATGCTTGATAATATAAGGATGTCACTAGTAAAGCGATGATGGTTTAGCTATCGGCCATTAACCACATGACGCCCCCGGGAATGGTTGTAAACAACTTTGGCAAGGTAGCCGCTCATTTCCCAAACATTGCCACCCAGCTGAAAAGTTCGACATTTCCATGTGAAAGTTCATTTAAGAGTAAAAATTGTCAAAAAAGTAACAATAAAAGGCCCTTCAATAAGTGTAAGCGCTTTAAATACGACAAGAACGAATGAAGACCCTACTGGTGGACGCTCGAGTCAACCAAGTAACACCATTATACGTGACAGATAATGTGGCAACTTTTCAATTCATGTAAATCTGTCCTGCTTTAAAAGAAAAAAACTTGCCATAGGACCATAATATCCTTTTGGACATCCGCGCTCACACTTCTCACCCATCCAACCGACGCATGAACATTTTCCGGTGACTGGATCGCAATCGTTGTTGTTCAGACAGTCGCAAGGTTTCGAACAGTTCATGCCATAGAAACCGGATTCACAACTATCCTCACAAGTCGGCCCCTGAAGATGAAGTATACAAGGAAGATATCGTTCCACTTTTATGAAGAAATCCTTCCACTCTCAAGCAAACGTTCATACCGATTTTGAGAAATCATGAAAACCATTCTAAACATTTTGAAACTAGATGGAACAGAATGTAATACTGTACTTTCCGCTTCGAAAGACTTTTCAATAGTTGTAAGTGTTTCATGCTTTATGGCCCAAAACTAAAGCCGATAATCGATCTATCCTTTCAAAAACTAGTTAAGGGATTGCAGAAAAAACTAGCATTCATGATTCAACGACCACTACGCCATTTTGAGGATAGTGGAAACCTGAAAAAACTGGATAAATGGGGGGAGGGGGGTGGATAAGAAAAAAAGGAAAACTGCTTAACCAAATTGTGGATGAGATGATAATTGGATTCTATTTACATGGCAACCGATGACGTGTAACGTAGTGGTCGGACTGCGATGAAGCAGAAATGAAGGCTACAAAACCCTAACTCATCCATTAGACTAACTGTGCTTCTCGTTAACTAACTATCATTTTTCTCAAGTACCTCGACAAATAATTCCAAGAAGAAATCCTCAATAACCAAGCCGCCTCTGAAAATGCTTTTGAGGGATTTGTCGCTTAACGACATTAAGAATTTTGTCTTATTAGAACACAAGGATTTTCATCCTAACAGGAAAAAAAATGTTTCGATTCTGATGTTTCTTATTGTGATTAAAAAACTTGTGTTTGTGCTTAGTCATAGTGATGTAGAATTCACGGGGCCAAGCCGCAACTGCTTTTTGCACCAAATTGATGTTTGCCTAACTTATTACGACTCTCTCTGGAAACCAACGTAATCTCTTTACGATTTGCTAATCCTCCTTATCCAATCTTAGCCAAAAAAATTCCGCATAATATTTCCCTTTACGATTTCATCCTGGAGCTTCGTTCTAAGTCAAACTTAGCACCCTTACTGCTAAAACACTAATTTTCAACCCTTTTATAAGTAGTGGTTTCAGTGCACTACCGCATAATGTTTAAGGTAAAATTCATTCTGCTCATTGTATTGTTTTGCTAGACGACAACTACCACGGTAACTTTCACTGACAGACTTCCGTAGAAGGTTTGTCACTCCTCCACTCGTTAGTAACACTTTGGTGTTGAAGACATGAAATCCCTCATCATTGAACCCATAAGGAATTCTCCATTACCGTTGTCCCAATCCAATTTATCCAAAAGACTCACTTCTTGCGCCCGACATCAACTTTGTTAAGCAAAATTCATTCAGCAGAATTCTCTGCGCTTATATTTTTGAAAACCGACCTTCGTTCAGCCTCAGTACAAATAATCAATGTATTTTCATTCATTGATTAGCTAAAACCAGTTTTTTTTTAGAAAAGTTTACTCAATGTTACTGCTTCCTAGTGTTTTCTAAAATTTACTTGTTATTCGAATACTAGGATCCGCCACCGTCCCGGTATCAAAGTCGCATAGTGGCAAATCTCCCTCTGATCCACAAGGGCGGCGACTGCCTGTGGTGGTGGAGACCTGAGGCAGACTTTGCCCTGGCCGACCTCGGGACTCCAGAGAACCGCCGTGGCTAAACCAGCAAAACTCGGAAAAAATGGAGGTTATGCTGAGGTCCGCATAACCAGTGAGGACGGGCAATCTAAGTATCCAAGTAGGTAAGTATTCGATTCGACTACGAATATACACACAGCAAGAATGAATGGATGTGAACAATAAACTCGGATCAGTCCGGCTTTAAAGAAGGCGAAAGCTCGGACCCTTGTGATAACTTTGTGTTAGATTGTCAGTGAAAGAAGATACATCTTCGAGCTTAAGTGAACGTCCGATTTTTTGACTTGCTCCATCAGGAAGACCTCTACTCGATATTTCAAATCGGTCAATAGATTTCTTTTGGTTTTCAATAGTATTTCCTATGTAAAATCACAAGTTTCAAGCACTGCTCGAAAAAATCTATGTCGTACGCAAACATACAGTGAAACCGGCGGCACAAAGACAACGACCGTTCACAGCGTCGCAGGTCGCTCCGTTCTTACAAGCGCATTCGAACTCGCAGTTGGCACCAAACTTCCCCTGAAAATAAAAACGGTTTTCGAAAGAAGAAACCCAATCGAAATCCACTACATAAAAGGAACATACCTCACTACATTTGCTAAGGCAAAACTCCCCAGCGAAGCCGTCAAGACAAATACATTTTCCGTCGTGGTCGCATCGGAAAATGTAACTGTTTACTCAGTGAATTATAGGAATCATATAAAAGTGTCAGGAGTTTCCTTCACACATAAGGGCAAAATGTTTTGTAAGATTCATGTAAACTACACCAAAACAGTTCACCACTATGTCGTGGGTGGGGGTTGCTGGTGGGTCTTCCTACTATAAGGCTTAGTACTTCCCATCAGTCCCACCCCAGGTGAGGATAGCTTTGACATTTCCATACGAAACCCCGTCTAAGAGCAAACTTATGCCATGGCGGTCGCTGAGAAGTACCCGTGGTTATTACCTTTTTTCCCGGACGAGGCCTGGTGTATCATGCAGGACTGGGAAGGGTATCGATTTTATCAATGCAAAAGTTCTTTCAGAACAGCTTGTTAGGTGAAAGAGACAGTCCGAAAAAATGCATTGAATTGAATATACATCGCAACCTTTCAGTCTCCTCTTTTGCTTGATAGTATGGAAAAAGCTAATCATTTGTAATGACGAGTAAATATAAGTGTGCACGAACATTATCAACAGCTCATTCGTTTCAAGCATCAAGCTACTTCTGTTTACATCTTTAATTTTTTTTGTATGTTTAGCTAACTAAATCCATACTTCGCACCAAACGTCTTTGTTTACATATTGACCTACAACGGAAATCTGATACGACTACGATTAGTTTTAACATAAAGCTCAAGTGCAGTTGGATAAAAAACCGCTGATGAATGATAGAATGACTGCATGACGTTCGTATAAAGCCATGTTTTCACAGATACGGATGAAGCAAAAATTTAAGGTATGACGCCAGAAAATGGGAAAAGTTGATTTCCAGCGTCTGTTTGCTCTCTGCTTCAAAAGAACACAAGGTGAACTATAGACGAGAAAAAGCTCACCGTCCACCGTTCTGACAAAGGCATTTCTCCGAACAGTTCGGTCCATAGCGATCGGCAGGACATTCACTTTCACATTTCTCACCGTGGAATCCTAGAAATGATCAAAAACGTCACAATATAGCCATTTTTCGAAAAAAAAATCAACACCCAAACCTGACGGACAAATACAGGAGCCGGTTTCTGGGTCACAGTTCGCTCCATTTTCACAGACGCATTTCCTCTGACATGAAGGACCCCATAATCCCACAGAGCAAGCTAAATAAGACCATAAACGGAGTTTGGACCACAGTGAATTTTTGCTTAGAAAAAGAATAAAGAAACTGAGTGGACAAAGGTTAGATCTTTTCTCGATAAAAGCTTCCTCGAATAGAGATCACTATTCCATGTAGCAAAAAGTCTAGTTCACATTGCGAAGACCTAGTCAGAGACTGCTTTTCTTTAATAGAAATCAAATTATTTAGTCATAAAAACGTAAATGAGGAAAAAATATAGAATTAGAAACCACATCAGAGACGTGGAAGGCGACAAAAACTATACATCCGTTAAGTGTTGATTAAAACGATGAGTTCAATAAAGCGCCTCTTAGTCCTGTGCGATCACAGGTTCGATCCCAAGCAACGATATAAAGCCCTCCACATTTCTAGACATTGGAAAAGCCATCAATTTCGAAAAAAAGAAATACTTAGCGATCCTACAGTAACCCTATATTCATCCGGAATAATGTTCCAGAAAAAATTTATGGACGAAATATTAACACGGAGGTATGTCTCAATGGAATGGAACACATTTTAGCCTTTTAACCTCAACGAAAAAAAAATTGAGAAAATGCAAGAAAATCAACCACAACGATGCTGAGATATTCGCAAAACTTCGACTCCGGGCCAAACCGAACCACGATTTCCGTTTCCGGGGGAACGCGCATCAGATACTGCGCCACGGAGGTCCTTGCTCTACGTTTCTCTCACCTAGGTTTCTAACTACCAGTATCATCAGCAAACACCGTCAATCTAAGAAAACATTAGAAATAGGAACCTTTAACTATTCATCAATAAAAAATGACCCTAAAAAACAAGTCGAAGTAGAGGTCAATACAAGGATGAATCGAACCTCATCAGGTTTTTTTGCGACTTTAACGAAATTTACACCATAAATTAACCGAAAGCGACATAAATACATAAAATACGATTTTGTAATACCACTATAGGAGAAACTGGTAATAATAACGAGAGCATAGTCACTTTGAACAGATAGAAAATTATTACCGTCACATAAAAACAAGTTAACGACCATAAAGAATATGTGAGTGCAAGAACAACAGCACAGCCAAGTATGTGAGCCATATATGGCTCACAGCCATCGTCAATGTGCTCGAAAAAAAACCGTTGTTGGAAGAGAAAAACAACTAACTTGATGTGCAATGCTTCCCACCGTAACCCGAATCACATTCGCAGACATTCGGCGCCACGCAGTGACCTTTCTTACAAGGCGGTTCGCATTCGGCTGAAATTCACACGCCGACTATTTTTCACTCATAAACAAACTCTTAGTGCTGACAGTAAAACTACAAAAGTGAAAATATTGATACTATTAATACTTCGAAATAAAAAGAAGCGCGTGTAGCCTAGTGGTTAGAGGTGCTTTGCGGTACACATGAGATCGATCCCATGCCCAAGGCTCACCAAGCCTTCCATCCCTCCGTGGTCGGTAAATTGGTACCAGACCTGTCTGGAAGGAAAACAGCGCCGATCCCATACACCATTAGGGCACCGGGAGTCATTGTAGGCCACGTATGCATTCAATCACCTAGAAACGATGCTTAATAAAGTCGAATGCATGGCGCTTCCGGGATTGATTAACGCCGAGAGCTTTATCCTTTCACTTTACCTAGTTTTCTTTTTGTTCAATAACTTTCGTAATAAAATTTTGCTTTACTTTTAGTTAACAGACGAAGAAGATATTCATAATAGGCCGATGTTAATGAAATCTCAGTAGAACACAAACTGTGCCACCTGAGGACTCCGAACTCGTGATTACCCTTACTGAGCGGGGAGCTCAAGTTCTACCCACCACACCAAGCAAAGCCCTTGCTTTGGCCTTTAGTACACGAGCCACGGTAAAGGTAATTGCGAGTTCGAAACCTTCCTGAGGTCCCGAGTTTTGTTCGAATCTTTGCACTCTTGTGGTTGTAGTTCACACATACTACCTGCCCATCAAAAAAGAAATAGGCAGTAGATTACAAAGGCAAAGTTAAGATTACTCTACCTATATCTGAGAAGACGCAACACAATATGTACAACATCCGATGGGTAGGGAACAAATCATTCAAATGAAAAGCTGAAAAAATATAGAGATGTACAAGAAATTCAAGCGACCTACGTTTACAAAGATTATCCTTAGTTTGATAGTAACCGGCACAACATGCTTTCACGTACTTCTCGACTTTTACCAGTACGTTCTTATAACCATATCGTCCACCTTTTCTAAAATGAGAAAGCAAAACTCAGCAGTGATAGGAAAGCTGACAGACACATCTTTAGTACTGATATTATATTTCAGTACCACTTTTGTAGTTCATTAATCATTTTCTTTCTGGTTGCAGAATATAGTCTTAACCCTTTTAGAACTAGCTGAGATACAGGCAAGACGAAGGACACGGATGGTGTGGTGGTGAAGTGCGCTGCTCCCCGGTAAGGACAACAGCGCGTGTTCGCTCCCCACTGCATACACCGGCGGTCCGAAGTTTTGTAAATATCTCAGCATTTCATGCAGAATATAGTCTCACAAGCCATACTTGAAAGCGGATAGACTGGAACTGGTTGCCGAACTGCGATACGACAGTGAGCTTATTCATCACCCTTCATCACCTAAGCTCAGACGAAGCCGGAAATCTCCATCCGAAGCAACAGCCAGGAGTAAACCCCCATCCACAGACCGAGCCAAGAAGAAATCCATGTTGGTGATTTCAATTATGTTCGGTTGCATCATTACTGCCGTGGATCTGCATCTTTCAGCAACAACCTATGATGACGACTTGGACGCGCTCTAACTTGACTCATGAGTTTAGATAGAAAACCTTGGCTGGCTGGCAAAAAACCAATTAAAACGGGGATTTAGTTAAGACTAGCTTGACCGTTCGGAGAGGTCAGCCGTCAAGTCATACAAGTAACTATAAAGATATAAACCTTCAGAAATACGGACAATTAAAAGTTATCAAGTAGTTGAGGATCACTAGAGAAAAACGAGAACGTAACTGAATGAAACTCTCCTTAAGTGAGATTTGGCAAAAGAATATATGGACTATTTCACTATTGATTTATTGAAATAGTATGAGAGTATTTTCATAAAGCTTTACCCCTTTAATAAATTTTGAATTTTCAAAAACACCGCACAATTTTGTTCCTTAGTATAAGACTTCATTTTAAAAATAATAAACTACACCTACTTAACGACAGGACATCTGAAGCCCTTGGAGACATCCAAGCACGCCTCGTACTCGGTGTATTCCACTGGACGATAAACTTTTTCCAGTTTGTATTCGTCTACTCTGCAAAAAAAGATATCAGCTTATGGAACTTTTTGTTCTAGGATTTTACCGTGTTTCAATCAATAATAGTGCATTTTTTCTTATTAAAAGCTTTCTATCAGAATGACCTCCTAACGGTTTACCGCCTCATCGTGGCTGGGAGGTGTTCCTAGGTGTCGGGCTGCGATGTACAGCGGGGTATTCATCCCCTTGGCAGGGTCTCCCAAGCTGAGAAGGAGTCCGACGTTTCCATCAGGAAACCTAGCTAAGAGTAAACTAATACCAGGATCCGCCACCGTCCTGGTATCAAAGTCGCATGGTGGTAAATCCCCCTCTGATTCACAAGGGCTGCGACTGCCCGTGGTGGTGAAGATCTGGGGCAGACTTTGGCCAGGCTGACCTCGGGATTCCAGGGAACCACAATGGCTTAACTAGCAAATCTCCGATATATGGTGATTATGCTGGGGCCCGCACAACCAGTGAGGACAGGCCGTTCAAGTGTTAAGTGTCTATCAGAATGAAGGACTCAAATAACACAAAGCTTATTTGATAACTGCAACGGTCGAATGAAAAACCGAAATAATTCGTTGACAAGGTAGATTCGTATTTGACTTCATTGAGCATCGCCAGAGGTGACTGAATGAATATCTGACCTATACAATGGTTTATGGTGCCCAGGTGATGTATCGAGTCACCAATGATATCTTCCCAAATAGGTCTGGTACCAATTTATCCCGGAGCAATGGAGGGTTTGGTAAGTCTGAGGCGTGGGATCAATCCAATGTGTATTACAGAGCACCTCTAACCACTGAGCTACATGCGCCTCTCTTTTTCATCACTGCATCGAATAAATTTATTATAACAAAGCCTCTATCATAAAAGAAGTAATGAGCGTCGCTGATGAATCACTAAGAGGACTTTAACAGGAGCTAACAAAAACAGGTATTAAAGAAAATTGCTGCAAACTAGTAGACCTGTGACGTGTAATTTTACTCATAGGTTAAATTTTTTTTAAGGAACGCACAATTTTCAGAGTCAGCTTGTTAAGAAAATGGCGAAAAAAAGAACAATGGCGTTCTTAAAAAGGTGATGCTCAGATGTTTGCAAAACCCAAGGCCGCTGGTGTTTGTGGTGGGGATCGAACACGTATCGATACATATATTTCACATCATACCCTGCCATAAAAAGAATAGGTAGTAAATAAAAGATGACCACATAATGCGGTTTTTTTCTCATCACATTGTCCAAAACAGCGACTGCTTCAGAAACAACTGTATAAAATCAAGCCCGCTTCCCATTATTTCAGTTCGCTTGCTACTCCTCCAAACAAATTCGCATGAATCACTAAAGATCTGCCAGGATAGCGAAATTCCTGACTTCTTTCCGAAACGTTCTCAAGTATGCTGCAAAAAAAAATCCAGTGAACTCTCAATGAAACGTGATAACTGCTGGGGCTTTCAGAAAAGAAAGATGACAAAGACAAACTTCTTGAAGGATTTACTGATTAGAATCGATAAAAAAAATCTCTGGATGAATTTCCCTAGGCTCCAAATGGGTAAAAAGAACGCTCAGTGCTAAGAAGTTCAGAGAAATTCCTGTACATAAGGATCTGGCATTTTCCAGTTTCTACGTTTCACAACGTTCTACGTTGGTTCTTCTGCATAGATTCCATTCCTTTTGCCCATTTCGTTCACGTTCTTTCCTTCCTCAGCTTCTAATTCTAGTTTCTTTCTTCCTCGATCCCGATATTTCCAAGTTTTGAACGAAATTTTTAATCCGAAAATTTAATTTTAGGAGATATTTTGATTTTAAGCCATTGCAACCTTCTCCACATAAGCAACTTACTCTTGCTCTATCCTGTTGCTAGCCAATCTTTAATCACCCTTCTATGCTTTCACTTAAAATCGAATTATCCTGCTTAAAAGTTTCCAACACCAAATACGAAATTTTGAGGAAAAAATTTTAAAGTGCGATTTTTTTTATTTCAGAGCTTTTCGAGCGAAGTCGAACTACCAGAACCCATTTTCCAGCGGAACTACAAAATTATCCAGGTTATAAAACCTACCAGCAACCTATTAACCTTTCCGCGATAAAACTGGGTTTTCGAGAACTGACGATTAATGCTGATTCAAGATAGTATGTCGGAAGCTCAAAACTTTATAGGCTCATAAAGGAGACTTTGCTCTATAACACTGTATAATATTTACGCAGTGTTCGCTAAGATTTGGAAATGTTTAGAATCAGGGTTCTCAGAAAAATCGAAAGTGTCCAGCTGGACGAATTCCCTCTTGTTCATCCGCTTTCTTGTTCGGAATATCAGCTTTGAAGTAGTAAAATAGAAGAAATATATGTCGTGGGCTCCAGAAAATTAGTATTTCATCTTGGTAAACCAGAGAACTTTTATCCTTTGAGCAATGATTCGTAAATCCTATTACTTTTTATTTCACACAGCTGAATTCACTTCGAGCTGACATACGTAGATTTCAAAATGAAAGCAAGACGATTTTCGCATCAGATGACTCCTATAGAATTCACGTCGGAAGCTAAAGGCTAATCAAAACAGGAATTGTCGAAATACCATATAATAAATACAAAATGCAAATTGTAATAGAAAGAAAGAGCTGAGAACATGTAGAAAACTCTGGATGAAAACTAGAACAGAACAAAAGTTTAGAATAGAAAACGCCCTTCACTCTTCTCATTCGGGTTTCTTCTACGCCGGTTTCTTACATTCAAACATCAGTTTGACATCAAACATTATAAGTCTTATGCCGACCGGAAGCTTAACCGAATATCCTTGAAGGAATTGGAAAAGAAAAACTTGTGCAAAAAGAATAACGATAGCTCACATTGTCGGCACGGTGCATACGTTGGAGCCTGTTGGTTCATTTCCAGATGAGGATATGACTGAAGAACTCCAATGAAGAAGGAGAACAATCACCGAGTATAGAATCCGCAGCTTCATCACGATCTGGGACGATGACGGAACAAGCAACACTTACTCCTCGTCCTCGACGTCCACAACTCCTTCCAGCCGCTTCCTAAAGCAAGTAAAGGGCAAAAATATACTCTTTTTCGAAAACAACTAGTAAAAGACGTTATAAAACAACAGGTGGAAATCGAGTGAGAAAACACAAACAACCCGCTTTAAAAAAAAAGAATATCAACATGAAAAGATTGGCAAATGTCCATAATTGCTCCAGGGCACGGAAATCTTCACAAAATGGCAAAAGATTTCTCGCTCAAACGTAGTGTAGCCAGGTAGCAAGTATGCTGCCTAGACCCCTCCCAACGCTGCCCTCCAGCAGATTTGAGAACACCTGAGTCCGGATCTCTCCAAGATGGCAAAAAAAAAATAGACTCGACCAGCATTCTGCGAGATTCATTAAAAAAACGAAATTCTCAAGAAGCAGCAGAAACAACTCGTGAACTGTTCGATGCCCACTGTGAACGCTAGATGAGAAGAAACGAATCGAGTGCAACAAGTGCTGGGATCAGCACAATAAATGTTATGACGGGGCACGTAGAGAAATCTGATGGAGGGTCATGTTTAAAAAAAGCGTAATATTGAAAGAAAATCTAAATTTAACACTATAATCGACAAATCGAAGGTTGGAACACAAAGGAAAAACTAGTAAGGTCTTCGGCTCGGTGAAAGAACAACATTAGATGTGAAAACGATGACGGCTGCGTGTAGTAGCCCCGTGGCTAGAGGTGTCGTGCAATGCACACGTGGTCGCGATCTCGATCCCGAGCCTTGGGCTCACCAAGCCTTCTATCCATCCTGGTTCAGCGTATTGGTAGTAGAGTTGCCTGGGACGATAGCAGCACTGGCTCGATACATCGGTAGGTGACCGCGAGTCATTGTAAAGGCCAGATATCTACTCAGTCACCTCTAACGATGAGTAATGAAGGCGTAACGGAACCTCAGGAACTGGTCAAAGCCACGTGTCTTATTCCTCACCCTTTATGGAAGAACAACGATTATTCAAACGAGGGTGAAGGAGTTAAGAAACAAACATATCATATCAACTGATTATTGCCGATAAAAAGATTGAAATGTACTGCGACGATTTTCGTTCGAATTCATGCACAAAGAATAAATATTAGCTGCTGAACAGTCGATGGGAAAAATATCATTGAAGGATGTGCATCCTTCAATATCTTCAACTCTCGACTACTCAAAAGCAAAGAAGAGTGATTCAAGGGAAACAAATGGTGAGCAAAGTCAGTAAGTCGGCATGAATCTTTTGGCTAAAAAGTTTCCTGGAGTCGACTGTGGACCATTGACTCGGATTATTGACTCTGAGGAGAACGAAGGCGTCGAAATGTTTGCCGAATAAAAATTGTATAAAAAACGTGTAAGCTCAATAATTTAAATACACAGAAAATCTCCTTAAGAGTTTCTTGTGTGAACCTATATGTAGATCCCAGACTGCAGACGAGACGGTTCGAGCATGAATCGCTTTAAAAGCTCTAAAAAGCTCTCGGCGTTTATTAATCCGTGAGGGATGTGCTATGTATTCGATTTCAATAAGGATCGTTCGAAGTAATTGAATGCATATCTGGCTTTACAATGACTCGCGGTGGCCTACCGATGCATCGAGCCAGTGCTGCTATTCTCCCAGACAAGTCTGGTACCAATTTGCCGATACTGGAGTGATGGAAGGTTTGAAGGGCCATGGGCGCTGGGATCAATTCCACGTGTGTCGCCTCCGACCACTGCGCCACACGCACCCTTTAGTCGTTTTAGATACACAAAAAGAAAAAATAGGAATAAGAATAAAAATAAAATAAAATAAGAATAATAAGAATAGTAACACCTCGCGTTTGCTCAACAAAAATACGAAGAAAATCACTTGATCAATGCCGAGGTTAATAGAAAGTCGGTCGTGGCAGTTACAAAAAGAAAAGTTGTAGTTCAATGTAAACGCTTCAGGCTTAATGAAGACAAGATTCCGTAAAATATCAGTGGAAGTGAAATCAACACTGGATGACAATATTCCATTACAACAACATACGATACATGTTGAAGATAGTGGCCACAGCCCAGCACTGTAACATCGTGTATGGATTAGGGTTGGAAGGGTCAAGAACGGAGAAGAGCATCGAGTAGATGCGAGTAAAGAGTAGTAATGATGACCCTAGCGATGACCTGGAAAGGCGCGAAATTACGCCGAACACGGAAAGGTATAAGTATCAAGAGCATTTCCACTTAGTACATAATACAGTAGAAACTATATTGCCCGTCCCATCATTTAATTTCTTAGCAGAATTGCTTAGTTATATAATAAACCAGTCAAAATGTAACAAAGAAGTTGGTTTTGTGGAAATAAGACGCTTGGACAACAAGACAGGTGAGAGAAAACATCGAGAGAAGAAGAAGGAAGAATGACACTTCGAGGAGAAAGCACGTCGAAGAATCGATAACAAGAAAAAGATGACAGAGACAGATGTGGGGAAGGTCGGACGCTTAAGATCTTAGGTTCTAAAGACAAAAGTAAGGTCTAAACTGGTTCCTAATTTTCTTAAGCTGACAGTATAAACCTATAGTTGGGCGGCACGATTAACTTCATAAGAGCGCTGAAAACGGTTTTGGCACATTCTGAGATCAGAAAAATAAGCTAGAATGTATGGTTGTAATATGACTACTAGTAACCACTGATGATTATGTCTACTTACTAGCATTTGAACTTAGATGACACAGGAACCGCAAGAGGCTTAGCGGGTGGTCGAACCAAAAACCATGTAGGCGTAAGCGGCCCGTTGTTGAACTGTGCTCTCAGCAAGTCACAATGGTTTGAAGAGAAGAAGATCAAAGAGATCGACCAAGAAGGATAATAGATAGAAAGAGGGGAGTTAATTACTAATTCTAAAACACAAATATGCAGGGAGAAAAACAAGACGACTGAAAATGTAAGTAAATAACTGGACGAAGTGAAAACAAATAAGAAAGAGCATGGATATGAATCAATGAGAGATCAATAGCGTGAGATGACAGATAAATGAGCAGACCGCAAAGAAGGACGGGAGTGGTGAATGGAAAAAAAAGTGATTGATGATTGAAAGTGAACATGGGCTAACGTCTGTTCTTTTGCAACAGCACAACCGTTGACGTCTAGAATGTCGCTACGTTCTTACCACAGGCAATCGTCACCTTTGTAACTTAGAGGTGATTTGTATCATCTTGACCCTTAGACTTAGATAGCTTGATGTTTAATGCCTTGCTTGAAGTTCAACGTCGACGAGAAGTCGGAGCCGTTCGTGTTCTAGCTGAATCCGTCAGATACCGATATCAGTTGTGGTCCTACTGAAAGCACGAAAGTACTGAAAAGAATGACAAAAATGACAGATGAGTTCACGAGACCAATTCGTCATCGATTTGCACTACCGATTAAAACTAAGACGAACATTTTCCACTTGCAAAATATCCTACAACGTCCAGTAAAGTTACAATGAAAGGAAAGTCTTACGGAAGCTAACCGATTAACAGTGACAATCTTCATTTACTCTGCAAGTTTTGTCAGATGAAAGGAATTTCTGGCAACCCTAGGGTTCAAAAAAATTCTATGAACCATTCAGGATTTCAAAAACACAACCAACCATGGTGACACTTTCTTTTTCATAGCAAGCTCTACTAATGTTCTTTAAAAAAAAGAATAAAACTCTCGGTGTTGATCAATAATCTCTGAAGGATGCGCCGCCACACATTCGACTCCATTAAGAAGCATCGTTTGGAGGTGATTGAATACACATCTGGCCTTCACAATGATTCGTGGTGGCCTACCGATGTATCAAGTCAGTGATGCTATCCTCCTAAGCAAGTCTGGTACCAAATTGTCCAGCCCGGAGAGATGGAAAGCTTGGTGAGCCAAGGGAGTGGGAATCGATCCCATGTTTATGATCCCATGTTACCAGTTTGCCGACCACGGATGGATGGAAGGCTTGGTGAGCCATGAGCGCAGGGACTGATTCCACATGCTCGTTGCAGGGCACCTCCGACCACTCCGTCACACACGTCCTTACACCTTTCTGAGCTACTTTAAAGAGAAAAAAAGCCTTCCTGCGGAGGCAGTCGTATAGTAATGTTCTTATTTTCACTAATATTGTTGGCGGTGATTCCAACCAATTGTGGTTAGTATGTTGTAAGCTCAGTAAACTGGTAAACTCTCAAATGACTCAGATAGCCGATGTCAGCTGCTGATTGCTTGAAAATTCACCACAATACAACCAGATTTTCATCATAACGGCAACAATCTTTTATACTGGTCCATTCCTAACTGTGTGATTCTGGATTGAAACGTTGAAAACTTTCTACGTTCATATAACCCTACCTGGATTATGAGGCGTGAGCTCTACTGCTTTGCAGTTTGATAACCAGTAGAACATTCTCATTATGGGGAAACGTAAACCATTCTAGGACTTATCGAACATTTCGACAAAGAGGAAAGAAAAATATCTTCATTTACTACCATCCGAAAACAAATATTCTCAGGAAGCGGACACTAATCTTTGATGTAAAGTGCAAAACCCATATGAGTACTTTGGTTTTATTAGCTGCAACGATAAAACAACAATTCTATTTTAAGGAAGCCATTTTGTTTTCGATCTGATTGAAATATTGGATAACTATATTCTCTGTTTAGTTGTGAAGGGTTTTGGCTTGGTAGACTGCACTCAACTTGAGCTTCCCAGGCTCTAAAGAAGGTGAAATCCGCTGAAACATTAGCTTCACCTAGGAAATAAAGCACCCCACTGTTCTATCCATTGTAAACTTTCCTGTTATTTAGTGGAAACCAGTCGCACGGAATCATACATGGATCCGAAATGCACCTGGCTTAGGTTAAAGAATCATCCTGAGGTATGACACGGGGCCAGCATGACCAGAAGGCACTCATCCTTATGGTTCATTTTTAGATTTTTGGAATTTATGGAAGATGAAAGCATGAAATAACCTAGATAGTTGGTGTAGAAGGGTAAATGAGATATTCTAAAGGTGAACCATCTTTCAAAACGAAAACTAAGACAAATTACCAAATAATTGGATCTATCATGGTACTAAACATTTTGAACATCGCCGAGAACTGAAAAAAGATTTATACTTGACACTTGAATGGCCCGTCCTTATTGGTTGTGCGGGCCCCAGCATAATCTCTATTTTTTGGGGATTTGCTGGTTAAGTCACTGTGGTTCTCTGGAATCCCGAGTTCAGCCTGGCCAAAATCTGCCCCAGGTCGTCACTACTACAGGCAGTCGCAGTCCTTCTGGATCAGAGGGAGATTTGCTAGCATGCGACTTTGATACCAGGACGGTGATGGATCCTGACATTGGTTTACTCTTAGCTAGGCTTCCTGATGGAAACGCCGCACTCCTTCTCAGCTTAAGAGACCTTGGTAGGGGATGAATCCACCGCTGTACATCGCAGTCCCACATCCAGGTACACCTCCCAGCCACGATGAGGCGGTAAACAGTTTGGAGGCCAAAAAGACTTATAAGCATTAAAAACACCATCAAACATTTCCCTTCAACGTGAATGACAAATAAGAGCTACGAACAGCACCACTCAAAGCCTAAACCTATGTTGGATTCAAAGCTAGATTAATTAGACTAAAAGAAATGGTTCTGAACGGCCTGTAAGCGCACGCAGGCGACGAATACTGTCGTCGGCGTATTTTCAGTTGAAACTGAACTAACACGTGTCTACGATCTTCAGAATAATAAATAGGAATCAATTTACAGGAATGATTCAAATGAATGCCATTCTACATCCAAACACAAAATCACATGATGGGCCCATAGAAATTTATTCTTTAGAATTTAACCATGGAATGCGATATTTTCAACTTCCAATAGGATTTTGTACTCTCTGAAAAGAAGAAATCTGTCGGGGTTTCGAATGAACGACTGGTTAGAGGTCTTCGAGAAGGGAAATCGAACAGAAAAAAAGAATTATGAGAAATACTGAAGGGAAGATACTGGTGTTTGGCTGTATAGACTGCGGTCAACGCGACCTTTCCAGGCTCTGAGGAAGGCGAAATACGCCAAAATGTCAGCTTGTTCGCAAATACTTACATACTTGATACTTGAATGGCCTGTCCTCACTGGTTGTGCGGGCCCCAGCATAACAACCACTTTCGGAGAACTTCTGGCCAAGCCATTGCGGTTAATGCCGAGGTCAGCCTGGCCAAAGTTTGCGCAAGGTGTTCACCATAATAGGCTATCGCAGCCCTTATGGATCAGAGGTAGATTTGCCACCATGCGACTTTTATACCAAGACGGTGGTGGAAGCTGGTATTGGTTTACTCTTAGCTGGGCTTCCTGATGGAAACGCCGGACCCCTTCTCAGCTTGAGATACCCTGCCAAGAAGATGAATATCTTCGGTGTACTTCGGTGTACATCGCAACCCGACACTCAGGAACACCTCCAACCACGATGAGGCGATAAACCGTTGGGAGGGTTCGTAAATAATGAAATAAAATAACACCCGGTGTTTGTTCTACAAGAATGTAAAAAACAGAATATAAGGAACTGAAGAAAAGAGTTGTTCGTTTCGGATTAAGGTCAGCTTAAGTCATATTTGCTTAATGTGTGGTCCACTTAGTTATAAACTAATTCTAGGCACTTTCTACATTTGACTCTTTTTTTGATGATCAGCGCTAAATCTTGGGCAATGATGTCATTTTTATAAAAATCAATGCCTTAATAAGAAAACCAAAGAAAGCCTTTCTAAGTAGGAAAGGTGCCCATATGAGCGTAAAATGTGTAAAATGCAATGCAAACAAGGAAAAGAGAACGAAAAGGATCTTAAACGATGATAAAGACGGGTAAGGATTTTATTCATAGTCCATTCTTACACTTTCAACATAAAGTGGAAATCGATAGAAATTTGACAACCACTTGCATGAACTCAACTGGAACGAAGTGAAATCGCTCCTAAATTCCCATGTGAGTCTCTGTAGCGCCAAAAGTGAAGCGAAAGGTAAACTCGTGAAAAAGAACGAATCGGCAAAAGTCGATAAAAGCACTTAGAATCACTTAAAGACGATCAGGTGGCTGATCTTGTGTGGTCGCTGCTAATCGATTGGTAATCAAAAGATCGGATCGCTCCACGACCCGACCACGAACGGCGCCCAAGACGAAAAGGGTACACACACTTACACAACTGGGATCGATCCGACAAGGCAATTTAATGCGAAATTCTCCCATAGTGAAGTTGTTAACGAAAAAAAAGGAATGGTAGAAGGAAACAGATGAGGAAGGTGAAGATAGTGTGGGACGAGTTACGCGAACAGACAGAAAGCCCGCCATCGAGGTTGAGAGGTTAAAATCTCGCTCCGTATATGGGAATAGCTTATCATCGTAAATTACCTTCGGTAGACAGAGAAAACGAATGTGCTTAAGCAATAAAGAATAGAAAAGTATAAAGCTCTTGGTGTTAATCAAACCCTGAAGGGTGCGCCATGCACAGGACTTCATTAAGCGTCGTTGGATGTGATTGAATGCATATTTGGCCTTTACAGTGACTCGCCGTAGCCTACCGTTGTTTCGAGCCAGTGCTGTTTTCCTCCCAGACAAGTTTGGTACAGATTTGCCGAACCTGGAGGGATAGAATGCTGGTGAGCCACGGGCGCGCGTTTAAGCAATGATGGCCTAGAATAGTGAAATACTTTCTCGTATTCTAAGAATCTAGTTCGAAACGATGCAACTTTCCTTCATAAAGGCAAGTAAAAACTTTTTATTGACAGAAACGTGCCACTTAGATGTCTTCGCCAATCATGTGGGTCTTAACAAGTTTTCATTTAACTGGTTCTGCGGCTGGTTCGCTAGGTTTTCTATTCTCTGAAGTATTGTGCAAGTCGTGTTGTCCATTTCGGAGGTCGTCACCACAAAAGTCGGAGGCTAGCTTAGCGACAAAAAGTTTGCAGCGTTAGCGAAAATTAGTGCTAGTTCTTCCGAAGGAGTTCTTAACCGAGTTTGCAGAATTGGAATGTGGGAATCTTCAGCTAGTATGGCCGTACCGGAGGGGCGAACTACCCTATTATACTTCGCGATTCAACACAAAAACCCCTTTGCAAAAACACACATAATCTATACAACATTATGGAGGAGTAATTGTTATTTTCCCTGGAAGAATCTAATTTATGAGACGAGAAACTTACGGTGTCATAAAATTCCACGACCAAACAACAGAGAACTCAAAGAACATATAATTGTATAAGCGATTTTCAAAGATTGGAGAACTATTAACAGGAATCGTATTCGTTCTGGAAGAGCCCTAGGTGGCGAAGCAATAAACGTCCGTTTGATCAACAACGGCGACTGCCTACTGTGAACACCTGGAAACACGCCCTAGTAGGGAGACTGCCTCGGGATTCCAGGAATAACAACAGTCATCTAGAATTTATTATCTGGGTTTGCACGGCAGAAATAATGCATAGAAACCATAAAAATGGAAAAACAAGTCTATATCAATTCATTTTAAACTTAATGACCTATAGCAATCCCGAGGACGCGTGTGGCGCAGTGGACGGAGGCGCCCTGCAATACACATGCGATCGGTTTCCACGCCCCTGGCCCACCAAGCCTTTCTTCCCTCTGGGGTCCGCAAATTGGTACTAGACTTGTCTCGTAGGATCGTAGCACTGCCTCGATAGATCGGTAGGCCACCGCGAGTCATTGTAAAGACCAGATACGTATTCAGTCACCTTTAACGATGCCTAATGAAGTCGAATGCATGGTGCATCCCTAAGGGATTGATCAACAACGACAGCTTTTATTTATAGCAATCCCTAGAAAACGAAACGATCTTCACTTTTGTCAGTTCTCTTTCCCATAGAATCTTGGTTATTCAGAACATTTTAAAGAAACGAAGCAGAAATTATCAACTGCATCAGTCACTTCCTGGAGAACTACCGTAATCTTCTGATGAGATGGATTCCATTCAAAATGTCATGTGTCCACGAATTTGTGGGAGTAATGATCGTTGATCCTAATGAATCACTGTTCAGAGTTTAAATGAACAAAACATGAATCGGACTCTTATCCACAACCTAAAGTCACGTCAAGGAGACCCACGAATATCTAGTGCATATAAGAATAAAAAACGTGGAAAATCAATAGCGGAGACGATCAACCGAAAAAAATCGATACACGAATCGGAAAGGGCGACTTCTTTGGCGAGTTACTGTTGACAATGTGGAAATGAGAAATGAAAATATGGGACAACTGCGGAATCAAATAGAACAGCGAGTCGATTGGCTCAAGGTCACCGATAAGTATCTATTGATGGAGGCCACAATGAAAGGGTTAACCACGAACTGGAGATGGGAAAAGTCACCCAGAGCCGAAGATGAGTGGTAAGGAGGAAAATGGTGCGGATATGAATTCTAAGAGGATGTTGTATGATGAATTAAAGAAGAAATAAGAATAATTAAGTGAAAAGACGACGACAGAAAGAAGAACTGTCCTAGTAACTAAAGATAAGAATGAGTTGATGCGAGAATGAAAAGGGTTTCGTAGACATTTTGCTCCTCCCGAGATTGCCCTTGTTATTTATAGTAGCTTCAGAGTATTACAACTACAGCAAAGGAATTTGATTTTGTGAGTTACTGCTTAGAAAAGGGTTACGGCGTACCGTAATCCACTTTTTGTTTAGATCTACGTTTAGAAATCGGATTCGACGCCGTGATTCGATGCGGAAAGAGCACGGATATAACCCAGCAGGAAAAAGTGGAAGTAGGAAAGAACGTGAACGTGTACTGCACTATTGTTCAGAACCGGTCCAGTTTGGTCAGAGTGCACACCAGGTGGTGAACATGAGTCATCCATCGTTACAAATAAAAGTCTGACTGCCTCACCTTGCCAGCTGACAATGGTCAGTGAGACTGAAAATCCAAGCTAAAGTTCTTAGCGACGACCAAAATGAGACGTTTTGATGCTTATGTGTTCTTTTCTCGACCAGAGGTGACAATGGTCAATGACGAATCGAAGGTGAAGGTGTTAGTGACGCCTAGAACCAGACCTACTGACGCGTGTCTTTTTCTCCAGCGGAAAAGATAATGGTCAGTGACGAATTGAAGCTGGAACCATTGGTGACTACCAAAACAAGTAGTGTTGACGCGTACGTGTACTTTTCCCTACTGGAAGTGACAAAACTCAGTGACGAATCGAGAATGAAGCTGTTAGTGACGGCCAAAACGAGACGTACTGACGCTTACATGACCTACTCTTCACCAAAAGTGACAATGGTCAGTGAAGAATCGAAGAGCAAGCTGTTAGCGATGTCCAAAATGAGCAACACTGACGCTTTCGTCCACTTTTCTTCACCGAAAATGACAATGATCATAGATGAATCGACGCTGAAGCTACTGAGTGAGAATAGTCATAGTTCAATCGAGGTTGAAGCTGTTGAGCACACCGAAGACGAGACGTACTAATGCTTCTCTTCATTTCTTCACCAGAAATCATAATAGTGAGTGAGGCTGAACATCTTAGTAATACCCAAAACCAGATGTACCGTCGCTCAGGCGTCCTGCGTCACCGGAAGTGGGTAACATCCAAATTCGAGCCATTTATTCTCAAACAATCTGACTCATACAGAACGAATTCTCACTGAATTTCGTCATCGTAATTTTCGCTCACGATACTGGTTGGGATAATTTCTATTGACGTGTAGAAAATAAAGCGCCAGGAATTGAAATCATCAACAAAAAACCAGGTAGGAAAATGTCTATAGTGGACTTCATACGTACACACATTAGAAGTGAACTCTATACTGTTCCTTATACGATGGACTTAAACGACTTTAACTATCCATCAGATTAAATAAAAAATAAAAATGAAACTTCTTCCATGTCGTCGACCTATGGATCAGCGTATAGCAGTAGAACACCATCTAACAGCTGACTTGGTTCCGATCGAATCAGGTCTTGAATAGAATTCCACGCATAATTTCGTGATGAGTAGCGCTTCTGATATTGTAAATACATTTGAACGATTGTCTAATGAGACCGGACATCAGAACCTTATGTTATCAGCTTTGATTGACAGGGAACTTAACGATAAGGTCAGTTTATCACTAATTGCCAAGACGACTAGTCAACGAGTGATGGCTAATCACGTAATCACTCCGTCATTGGGTCATTGGCGAGCGGGGTTCGTACTCGCTACCCTGACCTCGCCACCACCCATCACCCAACCTTTTGATACAAAAACACATCGGTAGACGATTCTACGTTTAAGCAAAACTAGCTCACATTCTTAATATACGCCACAGATGCCAATAATCAATACTGTAATTGAGGAAAGTGTAGCGCAGTGGTTACTGGCCATGTATAATGAATGAGCGTTTGTCGAACCGCCCTGCACGATGTGCTCAGGGCAAACTAAGCTCTTCATACTTTCGGAGTCCGCGAGTTCATGTCAGATTTTTCGGGAAGCACCGAAACAATAATTTGATATGTATCCTTTCATTGAAAAGCTAACACGAGGTTGGTAAACAACTTTATTCGGGTGATATTTCGACGTCTTCGTCTTTCACTGAGCCGATGACGAAAGGCGAAAGATGAAAGACTCAGCCGACAGAACACGAAGTCGTCGAAACGTTAGCAGAATAAATATTCGTTAACAACCACGTGTTAGTTTAGCAATGAAATGGCGCACATCGACCATTCACACCAGGGTCGGTCGATAAAAATCCGTTTACCACAGTACTAATATTATGTAACAGCAGGTCCCCATAAGCTATTGTACAGGGTAAACGTGCATACAATCACGACTACGATGCTACGAATGGATTCGAATGCATGACATATCCCTAACTGGGTCGAGCGACAGACGACGAACCTCTTACCCTTACGCTTCATTGTTAATACAAGTTCATTACATCGAAAAAAGAAGTATACCACTCTTCTTTAAGCATGAACTATTGGCATGAGGCGAAAAAAACAGACTTTTATCCTAATGGCGAAAAATCCCTATTTGACTTGACGACGAACGCGAAACCGTCCCGAACTCTTCCGGAAACTCTCCCGGATCTCCTATTCCGATCGCTTTCATTCAAAATAACAATAAAAACAAATAAATAACAATAGTTATATATGAAATAACACCGGAGTTCACGAGGAGACATTGATCGCGCTAATCGAAGACCGCAGCTGCTCGTTGAATAAAAATGGCTCTCGTAAAGAGCTCAGCGCTTCAATCCATAATCCAGAAAAACATGAAGATGAAGATCTACAAGGCTGAGTTATCTTAGGAGGACCTCTGGTAAAGCTTGGCGCCGACAAAACCTCCGAACTACGACTGTCTGTGTCGACATCTCGGCTCTCCGCCAGGGTACAACGCCTGAGCGCGTCCCTCATCCCACCGCCGCCTTTGTGCCACCTACTTGTGACTCATGCCACACTGACCACCACCATTGCCACCACATCGCACGGACGAGTTCTCATCCACTCCGAGACGACCAGGCTTCCTTTATGATCACAATGATGGCGAGATGTATGCAAAATTCAGACCCAGGGCAGATTTGAACCCGTGGTTATCCTTTCCGGGGTCCGACACCGCACCACTAAGGTGCTTGCTTTGCTTTTCTCTCAGCCAGTTTTCATCCCAAGGATGCCATCAGCAATCAAAATAGCTGATGATCGTCGCTGTTTATCGTCAGTTGAGTTTATTCTCATCATAAGAAATCCTTCATCATCTGTACCATATGGGCTATTAATCAAATGACGATGTCAGTTTAGTAGAAAGTAAACAAATCAATCGACGGATAACGTGGAATGTGATGGAATTGCTAAAGAAATAGCAATGACATCTCATGGACCGCTTTAATATAAAGCAAATACTGAACTTCTTTTCATCTCGATGGCGAGTAATCTTGAGGTCAGACTAGCCCCTGAAAACCCCTGAAAATCATATCGGCTAGCTCTGACATGCGGTAACTAGACGACAGAATGACACTATGGAATAGAAAATAAGCCCATATAGCTCTTTTTTTATGTTGGTGGACTCCAATACTACGTCACTGGAAGAAAAGAAACTACCACATATGCATAATAAGACCATGTAAGTTCAGTCCTTATTACATATTCGGTGTACATACGCTGCGAGAACGGACTGAATGGTTCACAGACTAGCGAAAATATAAAAAAGGAAAGAGCGCTTAGCGCTGATCAATCTCTCAGGGATGCGTCATGCATTCGACTTCATGAAGCATCGCTCGGAGGTGATTGAATGCATGTCTGCCCTTTACAATGACTCGCGGTGGCTTGTCGATGTATCGAGCCAATGCTGCTATCTTACCTTACAGGTCTGGTACCAAATTACCCTTCCTAGAGGGATGGAAGGCCTGGTCAGCCAAGAGCGCGGAGATCGATCCCATGTGTATTGCAGAGCGCTTCCTACCACTGTGCTACATGCGCTCACTACCGAAAATATAACAGAACATTCCGAATACTGCTTACTAACAAATGTTATACATCGGGCTATAACAACTAAATGGCCATTGGTCCATAAAGTTTTCGCCGTAATGCTTCTTCAATCATAGATTAGGCACAAAACTGACTCATCAGTGTAAACGTTTATAACAAATCACATGGAAACTCGTATTGTATATATTCTAATATTTCATCTTTTTCCCATTGTATATGTTCTAAAATTTCACTTTTCCACAAAAAACGATATGGAAACGCATATCGCTCGATGTTCTCTTCTACACGTCCCTCATCAAGAGCCATAGCAACCACTAACGTATGCATTGGTATGTATGCGTAGTAATTGCATTCCTCAAACAAACATTCACTATTTAAGTGAGCTTATTATGGATCGGATACATAGTGTAACGCCGTGTACATTTATCTGATTTTTATTACAAGGAGAAAGAGAAGAAACAATGAAATGAGTCAAAAAAAAAGCTGGACAACAACAACAAACAAAAAAGTGAAAAAACAAGAATGAACCATTTGTACAAACGATAAGAAAAACTTGACCATCCAAAGAAGACCAAGAAAAGTGACAACAAAAAGAACAACAATGAATATGTAGAGTTCTGTCCTACCAGTACCTCATAGTAATTAACATCCACATCGTTTCGAACTCATACGAATGACTCTGAAAGTGTGGATGCAGAGAGCTTACTAACTAAGATTTTACGATATCACTCACATGTGTTTGCATTTTTAAGCTTGGACGACGTTGATAAAAAGGATAAAGGATAAAGCTCTCGGTGTTGATCAATCCATGTGGGGTGCATCATGCATTCGACTTCATTAAGCATAGTTGGGGATGATTAAATGCATAACTGACCTTTACAATGACTCGCGGTGGCGTGACGATGTATCGAGCCAGTGATGCTATCCTCTCAGACAATTCTGGTACCAATTGCCGACTCCGGAAGGATGGAAGACTTGGTAAGCCTTGGGCGCGCAGATCGATCCCATGTGTATTACAGGGCACCTCCGACCACTGCACCGCACGCGTCCCTAACAAGGTTGATAAAGACATTTATTCGTCTAACGTCTCCACGTCAACGTCTTTATTAGAGTCGATAAGCCGATTCGTGCGGTGTCCCACTGAAGAAGATCCGCTTCGGTACGACAATGAAGACACATCGAGAACACGAACAATTGTAAACTACAAACTCGGACCATAGACTCTGATAAAGGCGAAGACGTCGAGACGTCAGCCGAATAGATGTATTTGCCCACCCGTGTAAGCTCAATAATCTAAACATGTTGATTACTTTGCTACCAAGGTTAAATGACGGCCGGTTTGAAAGTATCACTCACAGTTTATGATTTTAACCATCAAACCTATAATACTTATTCTTTCTTTGCATAAATATACTATTTTAACCGAGAATGACAACAGAAGTAAAAGTACAAAAACTCACATGCCGCTGATACCTGGCAATTTCTCGTATGTTAACAGATGAATGCACACCGGAGGCAGCTGAAAAATGCCTATTTCATGTCTGACGATAATAAAAATTAAATGGACTCCATTAACTTGTTCATATAACACAAGGCTCCCATCAAATGTACGGAGCATGTGAAAAGTTTTGGCGATCAGATGAAGTAGTGATGAAGAGGATAAACATCCAGAACCAACAGTTGGAAAACGCGAAATACTGCTAAAATTACGACAGCGATTCAAAATAACGGCAAATTCCTCTTCCATTATATTTTGCTTCCATATCAATACCAAGATCCACTACGGCCCTCGTATCGAACTATCGCATGGTGGCAAATCTATCTCCCTCTGATCCACAAAGACGGCGACTGCCTGTGGCCGTGATGACCTGCTGCAGACTTTGGCCTTGCTGACCACGGAACTCCACGAAACCACAATGTCTAAACCAGCAGAACTCCGAAGAATGGAAATAATGCTGTGCTACGCACAACCAATGAGGACGGGCAGTCCAAGTATTCAAGTAATTAGAGGTGTCACCAATTCTCTATCAGTACAAATGCGATCGTTGTGGACAGAAAGAAGCATCACATCGTTGGCAATAGGAAATTCATACAAACGTATAAAGTACAAACCAGTACGCTTTCTGGAAGAGGTGGACGATAGATGGTCAGGTTCTTCGCTGGCCTAAAATGATAACTGAACAGTAGACATATAACCAATATTACAAAAAAAAACCACATTACTTCATCAATATCTGAGTCCGTTGTTTCGGAGTAGAGTTCACTGCTGCTATTACTCGAATAATCATCGCTTTCATCATCACCATCGAGACCTCCTTCAACACCTGAAACCCGCAAATGAAATGAGTGGGAAAGACAATCGATGGAATCCACAACTGCAACCAAGACAAAAAAGTGGAGTCAAGTTACGTGAACAGTGAAGATATATCAAAAATACCCCAATCCCTTGGCACACCAATTCGTACAACATCGATTTCACTGGCGTCAGAAATGTCTTCAGCTGCTGACACATAAAGTGTTTTGAATAAGCGACGACCATCTACCTGTCAATGTCAATGGCTACAACGCTTAAAAAAGGATATCATTCAAAAAATAATGGTGGAATCATACACATGCAATTGTAGTCTTCAAAGGATAAACCTTCCCGTCCACCATCGCACGTCTCAATTCGTGAAATCTAAAAGAAAAAATAGAAAAATCTTCATTTCAGAAACCTATCAGCAGGCTACGATATCGCGCTAGTGCGCTTTACGAACAGACCACCGTCACTAACGGAAGAACTTACTTCTTAAAATCTACAATTTGCAATTCGAGCATCATGAACGCACAATACAAAACAAGCTCAGATTCACCTAAACAAATACAAATGATAAACTATAAAACATATGCAGTTCTAATTCCTTTTCTAAAAACGAATCTCCTCTATTTCCGCTACAGTTTCTGCAAATTTTACCAGATGCTTCAACATGAATACGTAGAATAACTGCAAATTGCTAGGCTGGCTTGTTTGAACTTCTCAAAGGGTTATGCCTACCGTGGCTGGGAGGTGTTCCTAGATGTCGGATTGCAATGTACAACGGTGGATTTGTCTCCTAGGAAGCCTAGTTAGAAGTAAACTTATACTAGAAATCATCGCGACCAGCAGAACTTTAGCCTCAATATTCCACACACTAGGCGATCTCGTCTACGACGTCGGGCAGTGAAATAACCGGTGACTAGCGATCAAATCTCGGGTTTCAAAAGACGTCACTGGCAACCGACAAAATGAGCCCACCAACGGCACACCATGGAGACTGCTTCTTACTGTGCATCTATAACACCAAAACAGTCTTTTCGGACGCCGACGAAAGGCAGGAAGCAGACATACACCAATTATACAATGGAACCATTGTCACTCGTGCAAGGCAAGTTCCGTCACGAAATGACAGAGGCGTTGGCTTTGCCGTACAGCCATCTATTTCCCATCTAGACTGATACGAAATCCTATCAACCCGGTTGCCCATTCTTCGTCTACAACTTCCGCGTCAAACGAAAGCCGGTAAGGAAGGCGAATCATTACTCACCAACTTATGCAGGTGATGAGAGCTATCTGGACGCGTTCCACTACCAATCTTACTCTCACGGACCGAAAATGGTGGCTCGTTGATAGCTCTTTGGATCAGCAACTGGATTCAGCGATCTGCCGCCTTTGAGAAGATTCGATTGAGCCATAAGTTTGAGAAGTTTTGTCATCGTCCAAGAAGAACGATACAAATGGTGGTGAGGATATTCCATACCAAACCCTCTCCTCATATCACTAGCAGATAAATGAAGATTCGACCACGGACTACATACTGCTTGTCGAGAGACTTGAAACTTGTGCCCAACCCGCCTCTGTTCTTCAAAAAAGAAGTTCAGAGTTTTTTCAGAAGTTCATCTCCACTACGATTAAGGAGTTGCATGAAAGGAGAAGGACAATAAAGCTTGATCCTATTGCAACATATTTAATACGGGTGATAATAAATGCCAGAAGCCAGATGTAGAAGAACTCCGCATGAATGTCTGGATCGTTACAGGCGAAAAAACATGCTGGAAACAGCCCAAAAACGTTCCACTCCGAAGTTCCACCGGGATCATTGCGACTATAACGTTCACGTTCCACTATCTGCCCTGATTAACGAGAACCAGACAATCACCACATTTTGCCAAGATATGCAACTGACAACGGAAAAATTCTATGACAATCTTTCCCGTACTGCAATTTCCGTTTTAGATCATTAAATCTGCGCTAGAAAAAACTAGAATTTTTCTCCTTGAGGTCCGATTTGCAATATAAAGCATGGAAAAAGTACGGTCCAGAACACGATAATATCACCACCGACTGTCTTAGACCTGGAAGCTACAATCTACATGTGCTTCTCGCAGTCTATGTTACATCCTACCTTTAAATGGGAAAAATCCAAGAACAATGAAGGGCGTCGCGGACGGTAATCTTGCTCAAAAAGAGTGATGGAAAAGATGTTCGCAACTATCACCCGACTTGTTTGTTCAGTGCACTATGCAAGTTGCTCATGGCGATAATCCTTTTCTGCATATCAAAGACTTTGGATGAGTTACAACCAAGTAGCATTCCGACAGGTATTCTCCTCCACATCCAAACCGCATCACGGGTTGTAGAAGTCGGTTGTTAGTAATATCTACCCCTTATCCTAACGTTCACCGAATAGCAAAAAGCAATTAACAACTTTGAAACGAATGCAATCCTATCAGCGCTCGATGACCAAAGAATGAACCCGTCCTCTATACGAACATTTGCTATCGGAACTGCAGCATAAAGACGCTTTTATCGATCGTTCAGCATAAACATAAGAAAAGGGGACATAATATTGCCAAAACTACTGCCGTACTGCAAATATAACGAAGTCACTCGCTTACGACGAGAACATCATACTTAAGGATGAAAAATCCCTATCAAATCTTCGTTTTGCTGATGACACCGTCTTCTTTTTATGTACAGACGAATGATAAACGAATCTAATGAAGCGAGAAAGAAAGTTGAACCGCATACAAATACGACGAAGACCCAGTTCATCAAGAATCCTTGGCGCCAAGGTAAACAAACTTAATGGCTTTACGATAACAGAAACTACCTAAAACGTGCACCGTTGGACGTTCAGTGGGCAAGGAAAACAATATGACGAAGGAATTAGACAGAAGAAGGATGGCAGCATGGGCCACATTAGGGCCAATTAAAGAAGCCACCGACCAATTAACCAACCCACCCAAAATTTCGCGCTCACCTTTTTGATTCAACAGTCTCCTTAAAGGTCTGTTATCCAGCAGAAATGTGGACTGTTACTTCAATCACCTCAAGAAATTTGCCTACGACCCACATGGTGCCTGAATGATGTCTTCTGAAATTTAAGCGGCATTCACAACGCATAGTTGAAGTGTGCAGCTCAGATCTTCGTAAGTTATGTCGTCTTCAAGACTCAGGAAAACACACATCGATGGGACGGTCATATAATAAGAATAGACGACAGCTGGACCAGAGTGCACACCAAGAAAATGAAAGCGTTTTAGACGAACACCCAAACGATAGGCGGAAGTACTGGTGGCTAAGGTAAAACATCTGCATCCACAGATGGCAACGATTTTAGGGTACGGAACGGGTCTTTTGAACATCATCATGTTCAAAACAGACCACTACCACCCTGGACAACGGTAGCGCGAAAGATAAAGAAACCGAAATTATGCTCGGCCCACACCACCAGTGAAGACGGACCACACAAGTATCCAACCAAGTTATCATAGTGAAAGGATTGTGTAGAAAACCTGACCAGCCATTGTGAATAAACTCACGCTGCTGTTTAAATCACTTTGCAAATTATTAAATAAAGAAATTAAAACCGAAAACACGAAGAAAAGAAAAATGGTACGGTAGACATTACACTACGCCCAATATTGTAGTAAATCTTACCAATAATCTTGGAAAACCAATGAATAAGCATAGAAAACGTGTGACTCATTGCAGGTTGAGCACATTCCCATGCATCAATGGCTGCTTTACGAGATGCAAATAACATACGTAAGCCCGAGGTTTTAGCACCCTAAAGTGATAAACTATGCTATGTAAAAATGACTAGTCAATTAAATTGAGCTTGTGATACTCTATGCTTCGTTTCATTGACAAGCTAACACGAGGTTGTTACCAACAGTTTATTCGGTTAAGGTTCCGACCACTTCGCCTTCCTCAGAGCTGATGATCTGAGTTGCTGGATAAAAGAAAGAGAGCATAGTAGATTGATGGAGAATGAGAAGTTTCGAAAGTAATGCACAACATTTTAATAGGAGAAAATTCGCCTCAAAGGGCGACTACATGGAAAGAATAAAGTAGATACAATCCAGACAGTCGGACAGTGACTCGGATCATCGGCTGTGAGGAAGATGAAGAATCGAAACGTTAGCCGAATAAATATTGGTGACAAGCTTATCTCGTGTTAGCTTATCAATGAAACGACGTACATTGGCCATTTATAGCGAGATTAAATGAAAATCAGTTTACATAGATATCTATAATTTGCTTTACAGTTTCCGATGTAACGATAAAAACTTGGAAATAGGAATGGAATAGTTTCTCTGTTGAAATAAACATAGTTCGAAACAGATATGTGGAAACATACCAAGCCCATCTTTTTATTGAAACTAAGCAAAAAACGATCCTTCTCTCTCATATGAACAAATCCCCCATTCGTAAAATTCGGTCTAGGATAACGCTAAAAAAATGATTTGCAGCTTCAAATAAGGCAGAAAACGATTTCCTAATCAGATCGAGGATCAACCGTACCTCATATCCCTTAGCGCATGGAAAATACGAGTACCACTCGTCGATGCGATTTCCACCAGCAGCACTTTCGTTTTGCGCTAAATTGGCCTTTGAAGCATTAGAAGACGAAGTGTCAGGAAACAAGATGTGTTCCTGAAACAGACTGAACTAAGTCAACTGTGGAAGGTGTAATATTATAGAAACCTTATTAGGCAATCCATACGTCGAAGTCAGCCCGAAACGTTTTCACAGCAAGTTCGTCTGTGGATGTTCTTATCTCATCTTTCTCCTCTTGTGTATGTGGACGAGAAAGGAATGTGCGTAAAACGTTCTCTTGACGTCGCAAAGGCACTATAATGTACATTTGTATACAAAGATGTAAAGGAAAATTTTCGGATGGAATAACTCGGTAGGAAAAAAACGTAATAGATATCCACCATATAGTGATTCGTCGTTGTTTCCGTAGTTATGTTCCCCACATGTGTATTCCGGGAATGGATTTGGAATTGAAGCGCTCTATAAAACGAAAATGTGGCGGTACACCATTTCAATAATGAACGAAAAATCTGCAGAACAAGCAATAAAGTAAAAGGATGAACCTCTCGGCGTCTATCAATCCCTGAGGGATGTGCCATGCATTCTACTTCATAAAACATCGTTGGAGGTGATTAAATGCATATCTGGCTTTTACAATGCTCTCCCATACAAGTTGTACCAATTTTCCGACTCACAGGTCGGAAGGCTTGGTGAGCCTTAGCCGCGGGGATCGATCCCAAAAAATTGCAGGGAGCTTCCGGCCACTGCGCTACACGCGCCGAATACTGTATTGTTGAGAACAGGGAGTAAGAGAAATATATCAGAGAGAACGCAGTATAAGCAGTAGCTATAAAACATAACTGCACAAACAAGAATCCAGTAGAAAATACAAGCAGAACACTTAACCAACACTGTCAATCCTCATCGATGATGGAATGCAGTGAGAGAATCCAAAGTCTCTGGTGGAATAACGCAGGCGGTAAATAATATTATCGTTGGAGGACTTGTCGCGGTGTCGATCACTAGAATGAATGACAAATTTCTCGTATTCTAACTTAGAAAACAATTTGTAATTTTGCACCACAAAAAGGCATCAGGTTCGAATTATAATAATGCAATGGATGATAAGCAATCACCAGTCATACGCTATTTACCCACTGTACAATGCGTATGGCGCAGTGGTCGAAGGCGCACTGAAACACACACGTGGAATCGACCCTCGCGTAACAAACTCAGCAAGCCTTCCACCTTTCCAGTGTAGTAAAATCGGTACCAGACTTGTCTGGGAGGATAGCAGCACTGGGTCGATATATCGGTAGGCCACCGTGAGTCATTGTAAAGGTTAGATATACATCCAATCACCTCCAAACGATGCTTTATGAAGTCGAGTGCATGACGCATCCCGCAGGGATTGATCAACGAGCCTTATCCTTTACCCTTTTGCCCTACTTACTCAAATAGTGACGATATTGCAGGTTGAACAGGATATAGAGGTGATGTTGTTATCTTGACTATGTATGCGCTTCCTCAAGGAGAAGCTTAATGTTTTTTGTTTTTTTCGTGATAGAAAATTAAAGTCAACTCACAGAAGTGAAACCTGACCACGTTTGAAGTCCTTTTCATAAAGTAACGGCTCGACAGGCCTGCTGTAACAGTTGTTCATTAATTTCTAGACTAGAGAAACTAAGAACAAAAAAAAACTACAAACTGTGCTTGGAGAATATCCAATGGATCGTATCCCTCCCAAAACATGATTCGCATTTTGAGCTGATATAGCCATTGGATTACATTGAACGTATTGTTGAACAAACTCTATGAAATGTTCTATAGGTCTGCATGCTATGCAATGCGTAAATTCATGGAGAACTCCAACGAAGTGGTTAACTTACGTCAGCATTTCCGTGAACATCAAATTCTCGTACACCGTCCAAACCGAAACAAAGTTTGAGGGCCATTAAAATGTAAGCAAATGCTTTAGTTTCAGTCGAGAAAAAAATGCTGAAATGGGGCGGCATCCTCACTAAGCTTAAATGATCAACAAAATAACGATCAGACCAACTCAGTATTGAGACGATTTCCATCTCGCAACGGTCGACCGAATACAGTAACCATCTGAGATGCACTGAATCTTAGTTTGCTATTCGTCAAAAAGCCGTTGGCGAAAGGACCCTGAACAGTCGACCTCAGATAACCATATAACCACAACGATGTTGGGGTATTCGCAAAGCTTGGACCACGGGCAGATCAAACCACGATTACCGGGAAATAGCGTATTACACACTGCACCAATGAAGACCTTGCTTTGCGTTTTTGTTAGCTAGTTTTCTACCTAGCGCTGCCATCGGTAATCACCCGTAAGCAGGATTGATCTGGGGAACACAAATCGGCATTAAAGCCAGTTAACTAGCTGAGAGAAACGCAGAACAATGGCTTCAGTGGTGCAGTGCGCAATATGCAAACCTCTGGAAAAGGTAATCGTAGTTCGATCTGGCCCGTGGTCCAAGTTTTCATGAATATTTCAGCATTGATGTGGTTCTAATTTAAATCATAGCCTACTGTGAAAAATTATAGTAGGGAGAAAATAAAAGGCAAACATAATCGCTATACTTTAGAGGACATATCGGCTTACGTGTTCAATACTTCCTTGTCTTCTTAAACTCTTTTCATCTAGTTCAACACACGGAGGTGCTTTTTCTATCAAAAGCAGTACCCTTCCCATCATGGCTCTTGGTAAATTGAGATGGTACAGTAATCGAGCAACAATCTACAAATGCTATTTCAACTGTTCGAAGAGCAGAGGTTCAATCAGAAAACATACCTGCTCAAAATCAACTTTCACAGGAGTAGATGGGAGACGACAAATTTGCCAAATAAATAACAGAGTACGGTGAAACTCGTATAGAGGAATATTCTTGAAACAAAAAAAACTAGTTCTTTCACCTATAACGTTCCAACTCTGTGTGAATACTGTTTCGATTCTACATATGGATATCAATACATGACAGAAGATCACTATGATGATAATGGAACCGTTGCAGATTACCATTTTTGTCCAATAGCTTTTTTCAGACTTTTTCGATTTTTCGAGCCTTCCACTACGCAAAGCTGCCAGTTGAAATACAGATATTCCAAACCTGCCCTCTCGAACCCACCTGAAAAAAGAGAAGATCTTACAAGCGATAAAAGGTAAAAACCTAGATACCTTATAATATCCGAGAGAAGAATCCATCTACATCCTGCAGTTATAAGAGATATGAAAAGAAGGGCCACAAGCACGTCCACAGCAAGGTAGAACGATGTTGCCTTAAGTTGCAAAAATTGCATTTTCCAAATAAGTAGCGACATACGAACACTGGAAACACAAGACAAACCACCTGTGTATAACAACAATGCTGCTAAACTGTTATTTTTCATAATATAATCTGTAGTGATATGCACGTCTTAAAGAAGTGGACTTCCACCATGAAACGCTTAAAAGCTCTCGGGATTAATCAATCCTTCTAGGATGCGCGATGCAATCGACTTCATTAAGCACAGTTGGAGGTGAATAAATGCGCATCTGGCTTTTACAATGACTCGCGGTGGCCTATCGATGTATCCAGCCAGTGTTTCTATCCTCTAAGACAAACCTGGTACCAATTCGCCGACCCCGGAGGGATGGAAGGCTTGGTGAGCCTCGGGCGCGGAGGTTAATCCCACGCGTAATGCCTCCGACCACTGCGCTACACGCGCACCTACTTCCACCATATTGAACAAATGCCAGAATACGACGTTACTTAGATATCTATGCAGACGAACTTTGTGGGACAAAGGTATACTTTTTATCATAGAATATAGTTCGCTCATAACTCACATTATTCAAGATCTTCTTAGGTACCATCGTATCAACAACCTGTACCAAACTCGACTTCGTCTGAGTTCTTGCAGTAGATGCCTTTTCGGGATCGAACTCCTAGTTTTAATAACAGTCAATCTCTATCATAAAGAGCATTCAGTTTTCGTGAAAAATATCAAAACATCTTTCTTCCAACTCACATCCTCCGGTGCAGAATCGGACTGAATATCTAAGTTCTCTCCCACAGTATCACTCATCAGTAGATCCCATGCAGTCGTCGACTTTTCCAACGCCTCTTGTCCTCGTTCTTTCCTTCGCTCCTTTTTATTTTTCTTTTCTTTGGCACGTTCAGATGCTCTGAACAACAAGTTTGGACTAAAAGACAAATTTATACATATTTCTTGGTTATTATTACTTACGAGTCCTTGTTAACCACTACAGCACGAAACATCTCCTCCAGATCTTCAGTATAATCTTTGGCTGTATAAGCAACGTTACAAGCTGATAGATATCGCTGATATAGGGCGAAGACATGGCCCTAAAAGCTAACACGTCAATTCATACAGTCTTGTGATTCCAAAGTAAACTTGTAGAACAAAAGTTTATGAACCTAAAAATAAAAAGGACAAAGTTCTCAGCGTTGATCAATCCCTAAGGGATGGGCCTTGCATTCGACTTCTTTAAGCATCGTTTGTAGGTGAATAAATGCATATCTGGCCTTTACAATGTCTCGCGGTGGCCTAGCGATGTATCAAGCCAGTGCTGCTATCCTCCCAGAGAAGTCTGGTACCAATTTGCCGACCCTGTAAGGATGGAAGGCTTGGAGCGCCTTTGGCACAGGGATCGACCTCATGTGTATTGCACAGTGCCTCCGACCACCACGTAACACGCGCCCTTAGAGCAACCCAAGAGAAATAAATAAAAGACTAAATGCATTTACTGGGAAATAACTTGGAACAGCAGCTTCTCTCCGAATAGCGGCAACACCTTTCGCAAGCATCTTTGTGAAAGCGCAAAGTCTTCTGCCAACACTCTTCAAATAGGTAGGCGCATGTGCCTGACCGGTTGTGATGTCTTTCCTACAAATGACACCATATTTGGAAATATCACATTGGCGAAAAGATGGAGACGGAAAGGATACACACAAGATTTCGCTAGAGTCTTTAGAATCCTTAGTGGCTGAAGATTCTAAGTAACACTCCAGTTCTTCGCCCTGCAAAACTAAAGGGATTACAGAAAGTTTGGACTTTATAAGATTTCCGTGCTATCCTTATACTATTGCTTCTTATTCTAGTGCCCTTCGGCACATGTGGATCGAAAACATGCGCATTTCAAAACGAATAAAGAAGACTTGTGTAGACCAAACATACTTTGCGTCTTTTCCGGACGTTGGTTGTGGATAGACCCAGCACTGCTGACTCCAAGTTCCCTTCGGACCTAATTGGCCGATCAGCATCTTTCCTCTTTGCGATTTTTGCACGTCCGATGACCACTCTGTCATCATCAGCCTCCAATTCACGGTAGTCCTAAAATAAAAATTACTAAAAATCCAAAAGTAGCTACTAGTTCAACAAGCGCCGGACAGGGAAAATTCATCCAATCCTTGGGTAAAGATAGTTAGTCAATTGGTAGTTCGAGCTCCTTGCTATAAGGTTATCAACTTGTCGCTTTCACTGATGTGCTGATCTTGAAGATAATGTTAGAGTAACACATGAAACACTACACTTTTAGAGTTGGTTCAGCACAAACCAGGATGTGATCCAGTGAAAGTTAAGTTGACCGTATTTCATAGTGTTTGTACTTTAGCTCATTCGCTTATTGAAGCACTTCTTCGCCTCTGTCACTCATAAACTTCTAGACATACTTTAAATTAACTATTATAATGCATAAAACTGAGATATTTGCAAAACTCCGGACCGCAGGTGTCTGCGGTGGGGAACGAACGCGCTATTGTCCGGGAGTAACGCGCTCACCACCACACCACGTGGGTCCTTCGTTTCGCCTGTCTCTCAGCCAGTTCTATCGATCTTTTGCCATCAGCAATCACCCGTCAACGGCATTGATCTGGGGAGCACAAATCAGCATATACTTTAGATTCCCTAATTGTACATAGTGAATATTGCTTGTATACTTGGATGGCCCATCTTCCTGGCTGGGTTGTGTGAGTCCCAGCATAATTTCCATTTATTCGCAGTTTGACTGACCTAGCCATTGTTGTTCCCTGGAGCTCTGAGTTCAGCCTGGCCAAAGTCTGCCCCAGGTCGGCACCATCACCGACAGTCGCCGCCTTTGTGGATCAAAGGGAGATTTGCCACCATGCGACTAGTTTGCTACCAGGACGGTGGTGGATCCTGCGATTGGTTTACTCTTAGCTGGGCTTCCGGATGGAAACGCCGCACTCTTTCTCAATTTAGGAGACCCTGCTAGGGGGATGAGTTCCCCGCACTACATCGCAGCCCGACACTTAAAAACTCCCAACCACAATGAGGCAGTTAACCGTTATGAAGATAGTGTGTAGTAGTCTTTCATAAAGAGAACCTTCTAGCAAGTATTCCAACCAAATATCATGTAGTAATTTCCAGGACCGACTTTCTGTTAACTTCTACATTGATCAGGCAATTCTTCATATTCCTGTTAAGCAAACACGTACACAGAATCTGTTTTGTTTCCACTGCGATTGAAATCTTGGTTTAGTACGTTCTCTGTTCGATTATCGAGGTGTTTGGCTGGGTAGATTGCAGTCAACTTGACTTTTCTATGCTCTGAAGAAGGAGAAATCTGCCGAAACGTCAACGTCACCGCCAGTGAAGAGTGGAGTAATATCTCTATCGAGAATAATCCGATACATCTATCTCTTTTCTGGGAAGCTTAACAGTTTGATAACAAAATCTGTTTGCCTAACGTCTCGACGCCCTCGTCCTCATCACAGCCGATGATCCCGAATCATGGGCAATCTTATTAAAAGAGGAATACACATCAACCGAATACCGAGTCATACCGAGGTTGAAGTAAAGTCGTTTTCGAAATATACGAACTACATGGTGCTGTGGTGAACGCGTTAGCCTCCGGAAAGAGTAGTAACGTGATCGGTCCTTGCCGCAGACACTAGCGGTCCGGAGTTTTGCAAATATCTTAGCATCATTGTGTTCAAAATGTATCAGAACTACAGTTAAGAACTGGTTGAAATCAAAATGTAAGCAAAAACAAATAAAATAAAAAGTAAAAATAAAAATATCGGCACGGAAAGTACTCACAAAGATTTGTGTGCCGCATACAGCACAATACATCAGACCATCAATGATCTCCGTTTCTACTGACCCACAAACAGAACACGACGATGACGTCATTCTAGTAGAACTTCCAGGTATTATTTAAATTGGCAAGAGAGAAAATTACTTAACAGCTCCAATAACAAGACCGATTGGAGCGCGAAAATGACTTGCAATGAGCGAGTGATACATGTGGTTGTCACTCGTTATCCTGAGAACATCGAGGTATTCAGCCTAATTCATTTGTGTCGATACCTAATCCATTGAAAACGAACAAGTTGTTTTCTGCCAGGACTGACTTTCTTTTAACCTCGGCATTCATCAACAATTCACTTTTTATTGACGAGCCAACCCGAGGTCGTTATTTAAGCATTTGTCGATATACAACAGCTGACGTTTCGGCGCGTTTTCCTTCTTCGGAGTCTGGAAAGGTCAAATTGACACGCGATTTATTCAGCCAAACACTTTTGTAACCACAACTGTTAATCCATAACACATAAAACTGGATCCCCAGCCAAATCGAACGGCGATCATCCTTTCTGGGAACTCACATGTTACGCACTGCACCACTGAGACCCTTGTTTTGCCATTCTCTCGGCCAGTTTTTCCTCCTGAAGCTGCCATCTCAGCACTATAGTGATTTAATTTCACACCATACTATGCCTTAGAAATTAATAATAGATGGTAAATGAAACTTAACATAGTGACTTCGACTAAAGTCTCAGCTTAACTGGGTTTGATACCGATCTCTCTCCCCGGATCAATCTCGTTGAAGGACGATCATGCAACTCGTATTAGCCGTGTTTTATTAACACCTCAGCTCTAACGGGCTCTAACGGCTCTGAGAAGCATTTGCTGGCAGCAGCAAGGAACAGTTGAGGTCACTGGATGGTTACTGGGAATTGGTTTTGGCATATGAGATCGAGTTCTATGAGTAGTTCCAGCGCAATCTTCTCGTTATCTAATGTGGGGTTAAAGTCGAGAACAAAGAAATTTAGACACTTTGAAATGAACGGCATCATCAAAAGTTCCAGCTTCCTTTGAAATCCAAAATAATTAATAAAAGATGAAAAATATTTTGGTTTTTCAGGAATCAGGACTCGGAAGTCTCAACGTAAATTGTGGTAGTTCCGTGTGGGAACGACCACGAATAGATTGTTCCTATTCCGTGCTGGACCTTCCGGCTCTAATGAAACACGTCACGATCAGTTGGTTCCTTCATTTCTCATTTGGCATAAGTGGTTGAAATTAGTTGAAGGATTCACGCTGTTGTTTCTGAAAACCGCATCACAAATCAACTTAACGGCAAAAACTCAAGACCACCTGTATCACCTGTAGTCCCGTTGATCGTCGAGTGACTCGAGCGGGCGCCAGTAAATCTTCCATTTTCCCTTGTCGCGTGCAAGAGTAGCCCAGTAGGTTCTGCTCGCTCTAGGGACTCGTCGAGCATCATATCTTTCTTCAAGCCTCTTTGTGAAGAACTTTGACCATCGGATCGGTGGTTTTTCTTCAGTACGTTTAACATCCCAAGGAACCCAGTAACTGATGGCTCTAGTCCATCGGTTGTCATTTATACGCATTACGTGTTGGGCCCACCTTACCTTCGACTGTTTGGTGTACAGAACGGCATCTTTGATTTTTGATCGTGGACGCAGATCGGTGGTCCGGATCCCATCCCTTACTTGTGTGAAACGGGATACTCCTGGGATCGTTCTTTCGACTGCACGTTCGATAACGCTGAGTGATCTTTCATCCTGCTTGTGCATCGACCAGGTTTCTGACGCACACATTAGGGCAAGAAGTGCCGTTGAGTTGAAAGGTGGGCACGGAGTCGGGTGTTCTTTGTTCTCTTCACTATATCCTCGATGCTCTTGAAAGCTCCCGAAGCCGCTCGTTTCCTTCTGCTCAGCTCTGGAGCTGAGCCGTTCATGATATTGATTTGCTGACTTAGATAGATGTAACTTGGTCATTCGGAGATATTCGTTTCGTTGAGCGTTAATTTGGCATACGAAACCAATCCGTTCTTCATGAACATCATTTTTGTGAGATTTGGTCAAAGACCAAACTTTCCACAGGCTTCATTAAAGGCGGCAAGCATACGTTCCGCTTGGCTAATGTTTGATATTATAAGGACGATGTCATCAGCAAAGCGAAGATGATGTAACTGCCGACCATCGATTTTCACTCCCATATTATCCCATTCCAATGTTCGCATGGCGTTCTGGAGTGGTGGTAAATAATTTTGGCGAGATGATATCGCCTTGCCTAACTACTCCTTTGACGTCAATGTTAATATCGTTATAGAATGGTAATATCTTGGTTGTGAAGTTTTTGTACAGCTCACGAAGAATCTTTATGTACTGAGTAGGGTCTCTATGACTGTTTCTATTCCGGTTGAACTCTTTTTTTAAATTGGTGAAAGTGAGACAGAGCGGTCTCTTGTACTCTCGCGATACTTCAATGAGCCTTGTTATCGTGTGGATGTGGTCCATCGTACTAAATCCTTTTGCAAACCCTGCTTGCTCACATGGCTATCCTCCATCCAGTGTTCTGTCAACCCTGCTTAGGACGACTCGAGTGGAAAGTTTGTAGACAACAGACAGTGAGCCGATTGGGCGATAGTTGTCTATATCGTGCAGGTCACCCTTCTTGAACAATAACATGGTCTTGCTGGTCTTCCACTTAGTAGGGACCTTGCATTCAGACGGATAACGTGTGAAGAGCCAAGCCAGTGTCTCCATCTCCGGCAATCCCCAAGGTGTCGTCAGAAGCGAAATGACGGTGTTAGTGGGCGTGGCTACGTGCAAGCGGGTGCCGTTGATCGTACGGTCAAGGCTCGGGTCCTGTGGTCTAGTCCCCAAGCAATGAGACGTACCCAGTAGCATGGCTGGTGGTTTGAGTAATGGCTACAAGAAACTGTGTCCAGTCTCGTGCCCGATGGCTAGAATGGGATGTGGGTGTAAGGCACACACGCTAGCGTTGTGGCAAATGCATTCTCTATCGACTTATAGACTGCGTTTGCTAGGTAGATAGAGAACTCTCTATCTGATAAAGTAATTCTCTATACTAGGGTGTTTTTTGTTTTCTTTTTCCTTGTTCTTAATATCCTTTCAGGCTTTGCAAGCTGATGCCAGTAACAGCATTCAGAAATAGGCATTCCATTAAGTGTAGAAGGAGCGTCAGAATGAATCGCAAAAAAGACTCACGTGGGCGATTGCAGTCATTGAATTGATTCCACCGTAATTTTGAATATGCTCATAGTGTTAACTTTTTCTTTACTGCTCACCAATTTGTAACGGCAGTGTATTATGTGTGAAACAATCCCAATGATGCTGAGATATTTGTAATACTCCGGACCGCAGGTGTCTGCAGTGAGGAACGAACGCGTTATTACCCTTTCCGGTGGCTAACGCGTTCACCACCGCACCATGCGGGTCCCTCATCTCGCCTGTCTCTCAGCTTGTTCTATCGATCATTGCCATCAGCAGTCACCCATCAACGTGATTGATCTAGGGAGCCTAAATCGGCAAATCGAAACCTGCGGTCTAGAGTTTTGCAACCTTTGCAAATATCTCAGTATCATTCTGGTTATATTCATAGTCACTTTACATCTATCAATTATTGTTCAATGATTGCTCATGTCCTTAAGAATTCCCATTAGAGAATCTTGTATAACTGAACCGGCCCAGTCTATTTACATCGCAAAGTCTTAGCTGAAATCATATTAGTTTCGCTCCGTCGCCATTGTTGTTCTTAATGGTCGTTTTCCGTTCTGGCGTCAGCTAGCTCCGTTTTCCATTCTAGAAGTCATGCTCAATTGAAGGCACATCTAGCTCACGTAAGCGGAAGTAATATCTATTGTTTGTTGTTCTTTGCTCTTATCTATCTTTCGTTTTCAGTGTTTACTGCCGAATTTCTGAACGTTGTGGCCTTTATTTCAAAAAGTATTTTTTTAGTATTCTTTTATGATTGAAGTATAGCGTCACTGAAGCTATGTAGTGTCTATACCCATAGATATACGTCTGTCATTTCGTTTGTAGACGGCATAAAATAGGCAAAGCCGGTCCATACTGCTTTTGTCTCATTCTCACTTTTGCTTCTAAGTAGTTCTTTTACTCAGTAAGCATCCATAAATGCCTTTTAGCTTTCATATTAGGCTATTCTGAAATTGGCGCTTGTGGCGCAGTTGTCGGAGTTGCCCTGCAATACACATCGATCCCCGCTCCTGTGGCTGACTAAGCCTTCCATCTCTCCGGGGTCGGCGGATTGCTACCAGACTTATCTGAGAGGATAACAACACTGACTCGATACATCGGTATGCCACTGCAAGTGATTTTAAAGGCCAGATATGCATTCGATCACCTCTAAACGATGCTTAATGAAGTCGAATGCATGGCGCAGGGATTGATCAACGCCAAGAGCTTTATCCTTTTTTAGCTTTTATTTCATAAATTCAATCACGCGTGTAGCGCAGTGATTGGAGGCGCCACCGCGACACACACGTGCAATCGATCCTCGCGCCCATGGGCCCACCAAGCCCTCCATCCCTCCGGGGTCAGCAAATTGCCACCAGACTTGTCTGAGAGGATAGAAGCACTGGCTCGTTACATCAGTAGGCAATTGCGAGTCATTGTAAAGGCCAAATATGCATTCAATCACCTCCAACGATGATTAATGAAGTCGAATGCATGGCCTCACTCAGGGATTGATGAACGCCGGAAGCTTTATCCCTGTCCTTTATTCTGAAGCTAATGAAGGATTTCAAGTCTGTATCGCTAAAGTGACATATCTCAGCTTAGAATTTCTATATGATTGAACTAACACTAGAACGTATACATTTATCTAAGGAGAAGTAAGTCTACTTATGCTTTATACGCATTTCACATAATACCCTGCCATAAGAAATTGTAGTAGGCGGTAAATAAAAAGTTGACATTGTTATTTCGACTACAGTCTCATCTTAAGTGGGTTTTGCTCTCCAGATCAATCCCGTTAACGAGTGACTGCTAATGGCACTAGTAGATAGAAAACTAGCTAAGAGAAAAGCGAAACAAAGGAGCCTCATGGTGTGGTGGTGA